GTGTCATAAATAAAATACACAAATAATTATGGCGTAACTTAAGTAAATATTCAAATTGATTTCTGTAAATGTTCTGAAAATGTTTTAAATATGACTTCCTATAAATACAAATAGATAAATTGCTCAATGTATGTAACTGTTAAGACCGTCAAAACAAAATATCCAACGGGTTGAGTTTTTATATTTTAACCAATTTTTAATATATAACAGATTACTTTGTAACTCAGGAAAATATTTTTTAATCCGATGAGAGAAGAATAGAAACTTTGAAGAATAGAAACTTTGTGTGACTAACTCAAAAACAATACTGGTTGCGGTGATGCAGCCCGCCCAAGTCAGAAAAGTAAAAATTGACACTCGCCATTGTTACATTGACACTAATTTAGTACACTGAATTGAGCAGCTCACTGTCTTACACCATGGTTAGTCACGCCAACACGACGACGGGTTATATTCACCATTGTGACTCACTAACGTGTATTTTGATGGTTTACTCTAATACGAGTATGCAAAATGACTCGTTGCACACTCAAATTTTACACTGATAAAGTAGGTTCGATTTTTACAACTCATAAAGTAACCAAGATTTTTAACAGTGTAGGTTAACTTTGTCACATTTTGACATATCTGACAAGGAATTAGGTTTGTTTATATATAGGTTTAAATTCTAGTTTAAAGTGAAATTATTCTAGTTCTTCTATTAATTTTTATCTTTGAAATTTCACTAATTTGAAAAATTTTGACTTGCATAAAATTTCATACTTTTAAAGCATGTATTTCTATGCATTTCAAAATGAAGGTTTAAAACGTTTTTCCACCTTAATAAATTACTAAATACACATAATTTATATCCATTTTTTGTTCAACTTTAGAAACAATAGCTGGTCCCCTAAATAAATTTGCGTATTTTATCAAATTTTACAAAATTGGGAGTTGACAATGCAAAAGATACTTTGACCAAATGAAAATTTCAAATAGTTGTTAAGTATTAAAGCCGATTTGTAAAAAAACATATTTTATTATCACTTCAGGGTAAATGCAGATACAAGTTATCCTCAAAATAAAATGTTACCATGTAACATGCAAAACTGCAATTTTAATGTATCAACTTTTATGAAATACTAAAAACGAGGAAATATTGCAGAAAGTATTGGGACTTGGGTGCAACACTGTAAAATCCATAAATTCTGCAAACTTACAAAATCTTAGAAATACTTCCGAGGAAAATTAGTTCCCAAATTTTTATAAATTTGCTCAGATCAAGGCGGGTGTCTTTTTATTTTGTAAAAGTTTGGAAAATTATTTTACAAAACGCACGGATTTTACAAGTTACGAAGAACTGCGTAAATCGGAGGCCATCGTGTAAATGGTTACAGTTTTGGGAGTAGTTTTGCATACATTTCTGAGGAAGACGCCTATCCTAACGTTTATCCTTTGAAACCATAATTTATCCATATTTAAAAAATTGGCACGTCTTTTTTTAGCGCATGCACAAGAGAAACTATTTTCACCCATTCAAAAAATTATAATTCTGATTCATTAATTCTAACCTTATATTCACAATTTTTAGCTGGTGCATGACATTAAATTCGAAAATTCTTACTCGATTTAATCTGAAATTTTTAGGGTCCATAAGTCTGCAAAGTTTACTAAATCATAAATTTACAAAGAGGCAATTTACAGTCATTAGTAACTTGTAAAATCCGTGCGCTTTGTAAAATAATTTTACAAAGTTACAGTATACAAAATAGAAAGACACTTTCGAGTTGAGCAAGTTTTACAAAATTTGAAAGCAATTTTCCGTCGATATATTTGTAAAAGTTTGTAAAAGGTAATAAAATTTACGGATTTTGCAATGTTACCAAAAACTACGTGAATTGTTTCATTGCATTTTGTGGAAAAAAAGCAGCACGCAACTTATAAAAGCCACATATTTGACAAATATTAAATATTACATCTTTTTTTGGATTTCAGTGCTGGCATTAACTCATCTAACTTTATTATAATAAATCAAAACTGTACAATTTTTGTTTTCGTGGCCCAAAAATGCGAAACATTAATCCTGTTATCATGATCTCGCTAACTAAATTTTCTGAAAAATAATTCACCCGAATTCTTGTAAGTTACAACTTGTAACTTACAAGACAGGGTTGGTGGTAAATTAAGGGTGTGACAATCACAGCAATCACGCTGGATGATAAGTGTGATAATTGCAGTTCAAGCCCTTGAAGTTAATATTAATACGTTGCAAAGTCAAATTTTAAATTATCACTTTACGAAATTTGTATCATTTTGTCTCGGGTTTTAAAATTTGTCACATTTTGGCGTCGTTTTTCCAACATTCGTATTCCGTAAAGATATTTTTCGAACATTTTCAAAGGGTTAATCATTTGCAGATTCGTAAGTCTCGAGATTTATACATTAAAACAAAACTAGAGTTTAGTTTTGTAATTGAAATGTGTTCAAAATTTTACACATTATTTTAACGATTTTTAAATTTTTCATCGTATGTAAGTCTTCAGAGATAAATGAATTTGTGTCAAATTATGGGATTAGGAAAAAAAATGCGTGGCTTTAATATAAAATGATGTATATAACCTAACCTAACCTTTATAACTTGTAAGACATAATTTTTATCAGTTTATATACATCCTTCTCCATAAATTTACAAACATTATGAGGAAAATCTGGGTTACAAATTGTGTCGTTAATTCACGTTTTAAAAATGTTGTCATATTTTGACGTCGTTTACAATTAAAAAATATCTATTTTACTACAAAAGGCATATTTAGATCATTGTTCAAAATTTTAAGAGTGGAGAGTAAACTTCGAGAGTGAAATATTTTTTTGAAATTTTCATAAATTTTCATTCGGTTCACTCTGAAATTTGGTTTGGTATTTTTAACAAGTTATTTCAATTTCCCCAGTGATGTCACATCACAAAAATCATAATTGGCGAAAAAATCGCGTAGTGTAAAAAGCACAGGAATCACACCTACATAAATCTCAATGTGATTAAAATATCACAGATCAAACCCTGGAGGAATACGTTGCAGAATAAATTTTTGACTTATTCCAGGCTGAAATTGGCAGCTCAGTTTTAAAAATTAGGTTTCATAATTTCATACATTCTTACGTCATTTACAATAAAAAGCATTTGTTTTAATTTAAAATATAAAACTAAGATCACTAAATCCCGAAGCGTGCTTTTGATATTTTCAAAAATTTTGATTCAGTTTACTCTTAAATTTGGTTTGGTATTTTTAACAAGTTATTTTACTTTCCCCAGCGATGTCACATCACACAAATCATAATTGGCGAAGAAATCACAGGGTGTGGAAATCATAAAAATCACACCTACGTAAATCACGAAGTGTGATTATCACAGATCAAACCCTGGAAGTTATTAGTAGTACGTTGCATAATCAATTTTTAAATTATTCCAGGATGGAAATTTGCATCTCAGGTTTGAAAATTGGGTTTTAAAATTTGACACATCTTAACGTCATTTACAAAAAAAATCGTTTGTTGTAATTCAAAATACAAAACTAAGATAGCTAAACCCCCACGTATGCTTTTGATATTTTCATAAATTTTGATTCAGTTTTGAGTGTACTCTAAAATTTTCAACCAAGCAATAATAATATTCATACCATAATCATAACCTTGCAAAGATTTCCAAAGAAAATTAAGTTTATTTAAACTTTGTCGCACATTTTGACGTATCGAAAATAATTTGTTTGCAGGTTTAAAAGTCAATTTTAATAATATTCTATTCATTTCTGTCCGTGAAGTTTCACTAATTAAAAAAATAACTCAATTCACGCTATAATTTGTTATTCCCAAAAAATGTGCAACCTTTCAAAAATTCATTACCAAAACTCAATCATTTTATTATTTTAAAAAATTTTCAAATTTCCCGCAGAAATTATGAATACTTTATCAATTTGTTTTCATTATTTATACATGCAATAACAAGAAATTAAACGGATTCTTTACTGCTGTGTTAAAAGTTAACTATTTTATTTATATTTTCCATTTTTACATACAGTTTGCTTGTGATCAAATATTTAGCAGTTTTATTAAAGCTATAATTTTTTCACTATAATTAAATAAATAATTTTATAATTAAAGCCATCTAATGGACAGTTCTCACTTTATTTAGTAGCAAAATATCATAACCAATTAATTTGAATAGAGTATTTTCATCAGCAAGCTACAGATATTTTTTGCAATACAAATTTCTGCGAATATTTTGCACCGTAATTTTTTGAGTTTGCTAAAGCCAAGCTGTTTGTGAAAGACGGGTGCAAATTACAATTTACATAATGATTTTCTACAAGTTAATTTGAACGTGCATTTGTATGCGTTTTTTTCAGGTTACAATTTTCGGAAATTTCTAGGTACATTTTTCAACAAGTTGATTTGAACATTTTTTAACATTTTGCACTAAAGCCCGTCTACAAGATAATTTTTAGTTAATTAAATCGATAAATAAACATTATTTAGAATATATATATCCGCGGAACAGATTAAGTTTTAAAATAAATCAATAAAATTAAAACGCTTTTATAAAATTATGTTTAAAAAGAGGCTAATTTTCATAATGCAAGTTTTCATAAATACTGATTTTTAAAAATAAATTCCATGTTTTTATGTATGTATTAAATTTGGAAATCTGTAGATCATAAATATTTAAGATGGCTAAATTCAGAAATATTTAATAATGACCAAAGATTTCTACAAATTACAAAAAATCCTAATTTTCGGCCCAATGTTATGTAAATGTACTTCCCAAAATAATGATTTCAAAAAATAACTAAAGTACTTGATAATAATCTTAATTTAAAATTTACTAAAATACACAACTTACACAAATTAATGGCAACTAATCTTAATACAAATTTGCTCAAAATTTGAGTCACAGAAGAAAAAATACTGAGTTTCAAATACTTTTGTACCTTGGAATCAATTTTATCTTAAATACTTAACGGCAGGCGGAGTGCATAAAGCAGGCATTTTCATCCCCAATTAAAATTTTGAGTATATTTTCACGTCATCCTTTTTGCAAACTGTGCAACAAGATTAAGAATTTAGTAAATTCATGATCGCCCAAAAATTAAGATACATCTACGTGCTAATTTTTTGTAAACAATCGATTAAAATTGATTGATTTTCATAAAATTTCGCAAACCTTGCAAAATCTTAAGTTTACAATAATTTTCTTTTTTGCAGGCTTTAAACCAAAAAATGCAAGAAATTTTATCCCAATTTTTTAAAGTTTCACAACTTCATTCCCCATTTCAACTCCCCAAAATCTTTTACACAGTTTACAAAAAAAATTGACGCGAAAAAGGCAGCAGGTCAAAGTCTGTTCTACATAAAGATGTTTTTCAAGCACATTTTTATAAGCAGCTCTCCCCCTCAGATTTTCACATTCTACGCGATCATCGCGTCCCCTTCGCCCTTCGCGTCCAGTTTTGGACTCGGCGGGATGACGACGGAGGTGCAAAAGGCGCACCGTTTCGCGGCCTTGCTGATTTTCGAGCAGCACTCAGGGCACGATCGATTAGCGTCTTCCTCCTTTTTCTGCACCTTCGCCAAAACCCAGTCGCTCGGAACCTGTGAAAAATATTCAGGGAAATTTTACAAAGTTTCAAACTTGTGTGCGAATAGAAATAAATAGATACATGTATTTGCATACTACTTGTATATTAAAATATGCGAATTTTTGTGTGCCAAAATAATTATTTTATTTTATGCCCTCCTATATAGATTCAGTTTAGGAACGATTTACTACTAATTTGTCTTTGGTCCGTCGTCAAATTTTGTGCTTCAATGAATGCATAATATGCTATTGTAAGTACAAAAATTTACACAGTTTACGAAGTTTCCAACTCGCCAAACTATTTCAAAGGTTAACCAGGAATGCCCTATCATCTAAAATATATTTAACTACTGCTATTTTCATTGAAATATCAAATTCGACGTTGAGGCGAGTATTTGCACGAAAAATTAAAATCGTAAACGATACAAATGGAAAATTAAATGGAAAATTTTGACCAAAAATTGATGTCAACCATTTTGTTAGTTAAGAAATTATATAATTTCAAAATTTACTACATGTGTTTTCTCCTCTTCGGATGCAGATATCTCTGCCAAACCTGTGAATTAGGAGATTGTTTCCAAATTTTTCGTTTCCAAATTCTAAATTAATTACAGTAAATTTATGATCGATTGACGTTAATTTGGTCAAAATCAGAAAACATTTGCTGGGACCCCTCCATGTTAAGACGCGATTTTTAAAAATATTTTTAAAAATATATTTTTAAAAATTACAACGTGTTTAATCCATTATTGTTCTTAGTTTTTCAAATAATTCTGGAAAATATGCATTAACTAAATTTTAGAATTGTTGAAATTTTACTTGAATTCGAAAATAAATACGAAAATGAACGAGGTAGTATCTATAAAATTTGTTTGATATGAAATCTTCGGTAAAATAAAATTGGCGTTGAATTCCTTTATATTTGAATGAGGATCGACGTTTGAAATATATTTATGAAGACGAGATTTAAATGCTAAATATTTTTTTTTACATAAGTCACATAACCTTTGTAAATTGAACATATTTTTAGTAAAGTGAAATATTAAGGAAACTCGTTAAAAGCTTTGTAAACTGTGTAAACCAGTATACCTATATTTTTTTTGCATTGGAACGTCTGAACGACTCATAATTCTGCTTGTTAAATAATTCTTGTAAATTTGACATTATTTAAAATTTTAGAAAGTACTCATGAATTTAAAAATAACATAAAATCGAATAAAAAAATTCGGAATAAGTTTAAAAGTAAGCCGTTGCTAAAATCTATGAAATTTTTATAAAATTTAGAGTAACGAAATTGGGCGTTAGTATTTGGCCGAAGACCTATCTACGAAATTTGTATTTCTACTATACGAGTTTTACAAGAAGCATAAAATTGGCGTTAAACCCTCTTTAATTTTCATAAATGACCTTCTCTCTTTCCCATTTGATGTGACTATTTAAAAAAATTGTACCTCGGTTGAGACTGAAATTAGCTTGAGATAATGAATCAAGTTACAAATTAAATTGAGATGTATTGTTTAAAACTTAAAAGTTGGCACATTTTCAAGTCGTTTACAGCGAAAATTATTTATTTCATATATTTATATGAACATTAGGTTTAGAATTCTACATTTATCAGTAGGTGGAAAGTGGAAAATGACTGCGTGATTTTGTGTGATTTCTGTGATTATATGGCAAAATGGGACAACTTCTGAGCATTTCCATATCATACTGCTTGATGTGTTTGTTCTTGCGTCTTTAACATGTCATGTCAAGTCAAATGCAAAATGCAAGTTTGTCCTCATCGGCTCAATTCGAATAGAAAAATGCTCCGAACTTGATGCAGAATCTAAATATTTGGTTGGTTTTGTATAAGAATGTAATTTTAACAAGTTGTTTCACTTTCTCTCATGATTACCATATAAATCACAATTGGGTTAGAAATCATAGGGTGTAAAATTCACAAAAATGACACCTAAATCACAAAGTGTGATTATCACAGTTCAGACTCTGGAGGTGATTATTAATACGTTGCAAAGTCAATTTTTAAATTATCACGTGACGAACTTTATATCACGGATCGTGAGACTCGAATTTTAAAATTTGTCACATTTTGATCTCGTTTATAATAAAACGTATTTATTTTATTGCTAAACACAAAATGTAGATACGACCTGTGGATCCTCAAATGAGTGTAATAATTACAAGTTTGATAAATTTTTACTTAATTCACTCTCAAATTTGTAATGTCTCTTAATTTGAATTTGTAACCTATCAAACATTATTATGTCATTACGAATTTTATAAATATTTATCGTTTGGAATTTCAAAATTGTCACATTTTTTTAGCACATTAACAACGAAAGTTAGTAGTGCCCATTAAAAAATAAAATCAAATTCATGAATTTTAGATTCATGTGCGAAATCTTTAGCTGCTACGTGGCATAAGTTTTGAGGTTCTGACTCGATCCCCTCGATTTTTGATGTCCATAAATTAGCAAAGTTTACTAAATCATAGATTTATTAAATCACAACTTTGCAAGAGACAGGTAATTCACCCAGCTTTTTGTAACTTTGCAAAATTGGTAAATTTTCAAAAATTTGGAAGCAATTTTCTTTCGAAAGATTTGCACAACTTTTTAAAAGTTTACAGAATTTGATTTTACAAGGTTACCAAGAACTACGTGAATTGACTCATATTTGCTAAATATTACACCTTTTTACTGGATTACAATCTTGGTAGCAGTTAATCTAACTGTTTCCCTACAAAGCAAATTTTTTCAGAAATAATTATAAACTTTTGTTCAGTTTGTAAGTTTACAGAGTTTACGGATTTTACAATGTTACCAAGGTCTGCGTGAATTTGCTCAAAGTTTACGTCATATGTATGTCACAAATTATTGGGGGTTTTAAATTTTAAAATTATAACTCGGTTTGCTCTAAAATTTGCAATCTTCATAAATTTGCAGTCATAAAATTGCAAAATTATTCACATAAATTTGCAAGTCCACGAAATCATAAATTTGCAAAGTTTACCATATAAAATTATGCACATACCACGACGACGTAATAAAGGACGAGGGCCGTGATGAAGAACGTAATCAGCATATCGATGACCCATCCCCACCGGAATTCGGATCCGTTAACGACAAACTTGTAATCCGAGAATTTTGGTTGCCCCCCAAAAATTCCAAGCAGTGGAGTTATCATTCCCTGAGTCAGGGCAGTCACCACGTTTCCGAACGCCACACCAATAATGACAGCAACCGCGAGTTGGATAAGGTTCCCGCGGAAGAGAAAGTCACGGAAGCCCATGATGAATGAATTATTTTAGCTAGAAGAGAAAATAAAAATTTGGTCAAATATTTGTCTCAAAAATTTCAAATTCTGGAAAAAGATTTTGAAAAAACTTTCGCGAAGTGCTTGGTAACTTCGTAAAATACGTGCGTTTTGTAAAATAATTTTACAAACAGTTACAAAACAAAGAGACGCCCTTGATCGGAGCAAGTTTGTATTCACAAATTTGTAAGCTAATTTTGTTTGAACATATTTTTAAAATTTTGCAAAAATTTGAAAGTTTACAGAATTTAATGATTTTCACAATTTTACCAAAGCCTGCGTGAATTGCCTCATTAGCAAAGTGACATGAGGTTTTGTTACGTTTTTAATGCGTGATTATCTTTATTTGTAAAACAACTCTGGAAAATTTGCATTTACTAAACTGCAATGTTATAAATATCAAATTAATTTAAACATTAGAATAATAATTAATTAGAAAGTAATACTCTGTCAGATATCTACGAAATTTATTAGATCTAAACATTGTCAGTTAACTAAAATTGGCGTTAAATTCCATCAAATGTTTACAATTTGTGTTGGCAATATATAAAAGACGAGATTTAAAAAGATTCCCGAAATTAATTCCAGAATAAAAAATTCCCGAATTTAAGGGTTCCAAACAATTTATTTCATTAAATATTTAAAAACAAAATTCTTCCCCATGCAAATTCTACTCAAAACCTGCTCGAAAATGGTTATGTCAATTAACAATCAACACCTCACATTGTATTCGACTTTCTTCACCTTTTCCACTTTCTCATCTTTTTGCAAAAAAATTTGTAAATAATTTTGCCAACAATTATAAATATCCAGTACTCGCAATCGAGTATCTATTAAGCAATAGAATATCCTTAAAAAAACTACCCAGATTGTTAAAACTTGTCGCGCAAAAAAATCGTTTCCAAATTTCTCAAAAATTCTCACAAAAAAAATAATTTTCAAATTTCCACAAAGTTCTTCCCCATTTTTGAAAATAAAATCCCTCCTATGCAAAGAACTGCTCAAAAACTGACCGGAAATGGTTATGTAACACAATAAAGAGCGTTTTTACATAGCCATGTATTCACCTTTTTTTCCTGTTTATCACAAACAAAAATCTGTCACCTTTCCTCCTTATCTTATCTTATGTATCTATTTACCTTTGTGCAAATAATTGTACAAATATTTTCGCAAAAATTATAAATATCCCATCCTCGCAATCGAGTATCTCGCAAATAAAATAGCTTCAAGATTTCCCAAAAATGTTCCCCTAACAAATTCTTTAATTTATAACTGTCTACAAAATTATTTCCCATTTTTCAAACTAATTTCCAAAAAATCTCTCCTATGCAAAACATTGCCCAAAACCTGACCGGACATGGTTATGTAACAAGGCAAACAGTGTTTTACATAACCATGTATTCACTTTTACTCACCTTCTGTTCTAAAATGTCACATTTCGTACTTATCTTCTCACCTTTGTGCAAATAACTTTGCAAAATTACAAAATTACAAATATTTTTAAAAAAATTATAAGTATCTCGAACTAGCAATCGAGTGTTTTCCAATGAAATGCCTTCTCAAGCTGTCCAGATTTCAAAAAAATTCGCGACCAAAAAATTCCTTAATTTCGAAATTTCCTCGAAATTATTTCCCATTTTTCAAACTAATTTCTAAAAAAATTTCTCCATTTCAAAAAATCATTACTCAAAACCCGACAGGAAATGGTTATGTAACAAAGCAATAGCTTATGACTTTGCCTTTACTCACCTCTTTTGTCCTGTTCCTCACACAAAAAGCACAAAAAATCTGTCACCTTTCCTGCTTATCTTATCTTCTTATACAAATAAATTTGCAAATATTTTCGCAAAAAATTATAAATGTCTCGCACTCTCAATCGAGTATCTTTCAATAAAATATCTTTCCAGATTTTTCAACAATTTTCACCTAAAAATTCCATAATTTCTAAATTTCCACAAAATTCAATCCCATTTTTCAAACTAATTTCCAAAAATAATTCTCTTATGAAAAACACAACTCAAAACCCGACCGGAAATGGTTATGTAACAAAGCAAACAGCCTTTTTACATATCCATGTATTCGCCTTTACTTACCTCTTTCTGCCCAAAAATGTGTCACCTTTCCCTCTTATCTTCTCTTATCTGGTTACCTTCGTGCAAATAATTTTCCCAAATATTTTCGCAAAAAATATGAATACCTTGCTTGGAGAAAAGTGTATACGTCTGAATTTCGTGTAAACAAGCGATCTCCTCTCGTAAACAAATTTACTACTGTGAGACGACACGATTACACAACTTTCCAGACGAGACGGGGAATAGCAACGCAGAACGTACACGCAGGGCAAAAAGTTATGTAACCCTTTCCTCCCTCTTATATAAGCGGTTGGGGGGTAAAAAATCGATTCGGTCGGAAAACTGGACCAGAGTACGCTGATTCCACACCGTGCGGACAGAATGTCATGAATTATGCACTGGTAAATATCTACTCCGTACTGGTATTGATTTGGTAATAACTTTTTACCGGATTGGTAGTAATTTATTATTTAGGGGTAAATTTTTCTTTACCAAGACATTAGTAAATGATAATGCTCGTTACTACCGTGCTCCGGTTATTAATGATTTAATACCAGATTTCTAAGAGTGTGTGGAAAATTGAGGTCAAGGGATCATATTTGTGGATAGGTAAATTATGAAATTTGTGCATATTGGGGCCAGAGGTCATTATTGGTGGCATCAGGTATGTATGGTCCCCCAGAGGGAATTTAACAACGGAAACGATAGGTCTCACGTTTCTCTCTTTCTTTCTCTACCTCTGCGGCCACGTTACACCTCATCAACTACGATAAAAGTATAGATGGAAGGACACTCTTAGCAATTTGGTAATTTTGGTTTGCGTCAAGTTTTACCGGTAACAATTTTTTCTAGTAGCAATTTTTACCAGTAACTATTTTTTGTACCTGTTTTACCAGTAACATTTTTCCCATAAGAATTTTACCAGTTTTACCACTAACAATATTTACCAGTTTTTTTTCAGTCGCGAAATAACGATAAATTTATGAAAAAATTCTTTAAACATGTGACTAATAAACTAATAAAATTTATAAATACATACATATATCTCCGTAAAGAACGGTACCGAAATCTTAATTTGTTATCAAACCGATAACAAATTACTCCAATATTAACTTTGATAGTAATTTTCAAAGCTAATAACATTACCCACCCGAAATACATAAATACATACACATGTATTTAGGATTAGTTTCCAATACATTTTTGTTAATTTTCTAACCAATTTTTGTTACCAGTTACCAAAATTCTTACTAATTTATTTTTACCAATTTTCTTACCTAAAATTATTTAGAGTGGTTCGTTACTTTTAACGAAGCTGTAATCACCGGTCTCCCGAGGGCTTTTAACATCCGTTCCAGGAATGCAACACAACAATGGGATCCGACGCTAACAAATCTGTTATTGCGCCACGAAAGGGCAAAAAACTTTCTATTTAAACGCAAAAAATACACCCACCAAACCAAATTATGCTCCATGCACGAAATAATAATGAAAATAATGCATGCCTGCACGGTTTAGCGTACAATTACTCTCGAGTACAGAGTGCATACTAAATAATATCAGTAATTCAGTCGTGTACACGACAAAAAATCGAACATGTAACACAATGCGATTAATTTATGACAAGAATTTATGTATAACGCGACCAGACCAAGACCACCACCACGACAGACCAAAATATATTAAATAAATGTACATATGCAATGAAGTATCGGAAGCCTGTTATGACCTGGTCACTCCACGTGACCTTTTTGTCCCGTAATGAATTGTTTTAAAGATTTGATGTCAATATTTACGAATTCTCATACATTCAGAATTTCAACAGGTGAACATGTTCAAAAGTTAGCGTGGAAATTTGGTAAGAAATTGTAAAATACGAATATTTGCAAACGATGACATTTTTACGATGAAAAATACATAGGTATTCCAATTATGAAAATGAAACTGGAATTTAATAAACATTTTTTTAGAAGTGCTTATCATACCGTTTATCATACTTTCGAGTACTACATATTAATATCAGTATTTCAGTTGTCTACATAAAAAATTGAGCATGTAACACAATGCGATTAATTTATGACAAGAATTCATAACGCGACCAGACCAACATCACGACAGACCGAAATATATTCAATTAACATGTTTAATAAAGTATAGAGAACCATTGTGACCACGCTACGCCACGTGACCTCTTGCCTCCTTATTATCTTTAAAAATTAGATGTCGATAGGTTAATGCGTTCAAAAGTTATCAAGTCAAACCATTGCCACCAATTTTGGAAACACATTTTAAGATTTTAACTTAAATACGAAAATTTTGCAAAAGAGGAAATTTTCTCATTCGAATTATTGATGTAATTTTAGTAAATAATCTTGTAAACTGTTTATTATTATCATAAAAAATTCCACTAAATTTTTGACGACGAATTTATCGGACGGAGAAATCTATTATAATAAGTATACCTAAAATCGTTATTGATTTACATAATAATGCCGTTGTGTAACCCATTGTGCTAAAAATATTGCGAAAATGCAGCAACCAAATATACACATTTACTTCGGAATGCGAACTGAGTTATTTTTAAACTACGAACTACGAGCAAAACAATTAACGATAAAGCAACACTCTGAAAAACAATGGTTTTCATTAATTTGTGACAAAAATTCATAATGCAACCATATTACCACCACCTTCGATACAAATGCGTATCAATATTCACACGTAGACATTCTCCATGATATTGACACAAATACGAACAGAATGCTAAACCAGATATTCTTAAATTAAGAACAATTGACAATAAATAAGTTACACTTTAAAAAATAATTTGTTAAAAAAATATTCGCAATAATTATCGAAATACTTAATTCTTTCGTTATGTCTCCAAAATTATGACGTAAATACGTACAACATATTAAATCTACTTGCGATCAGAGATATTTTTAACTTAAGAACAATTAGCAATAAATAGCATGATTAATGTGATAATAATTTGTTAATGCGATATTCTCAAAAATAATTTTATTGTTTTTTTTAAAATTAATGTGCATAAATGAAGGTGGTTGAGGTTAGTTAACTACTTGTTATTACAACGATACACAAGGGAAATTCACGCAAGTCTAGGTATTGTCAAATCCGTAAATCTTGTATATAAACTTGCAAACTTTTACAAAATTTTAGAAATATTTCTGAAGAAAGTTATCTTACAAATTTTTGTAAACTTACTCAGATCAAGGGCGTCTCATTTTGTAAAAGTTTATGAATTTATTTTACAAAACGCACAGATTTTACGTCTTTATTTTGTAAAATTATTCTACAAAGAACCAATTTTACAAAGTTACCAAAGACTGCGTGAATTGTATCATCTTTTGACAACCTCTGGGAATCTTGTTTTCCAATTAAAATTTCTCAATAATTTTTTTCAATGGAGTGTTAGTATGACAAATGTGAGAAGCGTTGTTTTCTCCGGATAGAAAATCTATCTTGAAATGTTCAGATTTTAATTTTCACTAAAAACTTGAGACAATTCACGCAGGTCTTGGTGACATTGCAAAATCCGTAAATTCTGTAAACCCACAAACTTTTACAAAATTTAGGAACATTTCTGAGGAAAATTAGCTTACAAGTTTTTATAAACCTGCTCCGATCAAGGATATTTTGGGCAAATTTATAAATTATTTTACAAAATACACGAATTTTACAATGTTACCAATGCCTTCTCGCGAATTGGTCTCCTTATTGAAACAAAATTTGCATTGATGCCATGAATAAATGACAAGGTCGGAAGTATACAAAATTCTACCACTTATGTACCATTCATTCCTGGTGGTGGGAGTGGCATTGGTGACACAGGTTGACCTCCAGAAGTTGTCCCATTTGTCGTCGTGGGAGGTGTTGCTGTTGTCGATGATTTTGTCACGTTGGTCGGTGCGTCTAGGGAAGAATGAATATAGAGGGAAATCAGACCAACTGTGCAACAAACCCTGTTTCCATATTCAAAGAAGAGAAAGTGAGAAACTCGGATTCTGGTGGGTATCCACCACCACTGCATACTGTGACTTCACAGTGCCGTATGGTGGTCTTGATTGGATATCATCAGTATAAATTCAAAGGAGCGTTAGTTTTTAATTTGGGGCAATTTTAATAACTTAAGTAATTGCAATTATCTATATATTTTTTTTCATAAGCAGCCATAAGTTTGTTACGGCACTTGCCGTATAAGCCACTCCTTTAGAAACTTTGACCCCAAAAAACTCATTGTTCCCACACTTTTACTTCGGACAATAAAAGGTGAAAATGTAGCTCTTCTCAGGTAGAAAAATCTGGCATCAGGTTGTCAGAAGTAAAAGTGTGGGAACAATGCGTTTTTTAACGATTTCTGTGTATGACAAAAAACCGCCAATTTTCAAATTTTGAAACTTTTGATGCATCAAAATGTTCGTAGGGGCAGGGAAATTAGATTGGCAAATGCAACCTGTGGTCTAATTTTTGTTTTACCCAGTGTGCATTGACTTTCACATTTTTTCAAATTTCCTTCTCAAATTTCTGAAAAGGGGATGGGTGCATGTAATTTAAAAATATACATGCTAGATTTATCCTTGCACCCCGAATTCAACTTGCAATTTTTCTTATCAAATTCGGTGAAATCGACGCGAAACGGGTTTGCACAGTTGGGTCAGCCTGTACCTATAAGGATAAATTGTTACACCATTAACGCAACGACTTACTCGGAATTTTATGTAAAATATGTGCAAATTTATGCTACAATTTTCTGCAAGTAAGGAAACCTAAATTACTAAAGTCAAAATCACAATATTTTCTAACGAAGTGTTTATGATCTTACATTAATTGAATAATATGTCAATACTGATTAAAATATTGCATTTTTCCATGCTTGCTTTTACTTAAAACAATCTTGAGATAAAATTTCCTGCAAAATAAAATTATTAAATAATTTCTTATTGAAAATGTTAGAAGGTTGATGCCCTTAGTAAATTCTTATAAATGTTGTGCAAATTCTGTAAAATTAATGAAGATGCTTAAAAAATTAGTATTAGAAAATAGTGTATTAAAAAAATCGATTTCTAATCGATTGTGCGTAAAAAAAATTGAAATTTTAACAAACGGTTATTTCTGGCCACATCATCAAGTTTGGCCTGTCGTCTACCTTTGTTACACTAATATAAATATCATAAACTAGACAAATTAAGTTAATTGATTACAACAAAGCTCTGAAACACTTTCATCAAAATTGTTTACCATTTTTACCAGGTGGTATTATGTAAATATTTATGCTTGTAAAGAATTATCATCTCATGTTTCACTTGCTACCTTCTTAAGGTAACAGCCGAAAAGGATTTAAATTCTATTTTATGTGGAAAGATAATGTAGAACCGACTAATCTTGCTTAACGTGTAGTACAAAAACTTATACATTGTGATAAAACCCTGAGCGTCAAGGTAATATTAACGCATTCCATTGTCTCAAAACAATGCTTATCGAGATATATTTTTGTGTGCCAATATTGGGGAAATTTGCTTGAGATATGTGAAATAATACGGTTCGAATCATGCAGTGGACATAATACTTCGTAAAAGTATTGCGCAACATCATTTATATAGATTAATACCAAAATGTGTCCTATTCCGGACTGTTAATGTTAAAGTTTACGCTGACGCCGACCCTCAGGGTTTTATATTAATGTATTAGCTTACAATAAGGAGGTGTGAGGTGATAATTTCCGATTTTGATCGGACAGATTTTAAATTGTTTACGCTCAGAAATAAGTGAATTTTGTGTTTTCTAGTGTTTTTCTAGTGTACGGAACTCTCCATGTACGGAATTTTTATATACATTTTCAGTCAAAAGTTGGATTTTTCAAAATGCTGTCACTTTTCGAATTTTAACCCGATTTAAAACATGAAGCACAATTTTTGTTCATAATCGCTTCACTGAAATGACAAGATTTCATTTCTAAAAAAACTCATTTAATCTTCAAAAAATGAATGTTTTTTTAATTTTTAAAGATTCAGAAATATCTGAAAAGTTAAGGTTTTAAAAATTTGAAAGAATGAATCTTTACAACTTCACGGAAACAATTCTGAGCAAAAATTGTGCTTCGTTTTCTAAAAAGGGTTAAAATTCGAAAAGTGATAGCATTATGAAAAATCCAACTTTTAACTGAAAATTTATTTTTAAAATCCTCCACAGGCGAATGCACATGTATTCTATTCTAGAATTTCTAGAAAACGCAAAAATATGAATCCGCTTATGTCTGAGTGCGAACAATTTAAAATATGTCTAGTCAAAATCGGAGATAACCACCTTACACCTCTCCATTGTTTGCTCGGGGTTCATATGTATGTATAAGATTAATATATGTATATACTACATATTTTTTATTGAAACAAAAAAAATCAAAATTCTTACCTCTTAACTTTGTAAATTGTCGATGTTTAGGGCAATAAAATCTTTATTTTGTAAAAAAAAATGCACGGGATTAACACGCTTCAAAACCCCCCATTGAATACACGGAAGAAAGTTGGGGACAAAAAAGTTAAATTCAAAACCCGCAAGCAATGGGGCCTTAAAACAATTCAATAATTATGAATAATTTTTGCCCTGCCTGAATAGGTTCCTCTGTCGTTTTGGACGATCTAGATGCTTATGATTACTACTACTTAACAGCATTCAACGATGTAACCAGCTCATTTCGAGTCAATTATGGTAGCTGTGTTGAAATGCATATGGATAATCCCCCAAATTACAATTCCGACTGGTTTTGGACCATGGACCTGGATTGGGGTAATGTAGGGTGCATACCTGTTCACTTTCATTCGTTTAACTGATTATAATAGCTAATGAGAGTAAGTTTCTTGTCATTTGAATGGAAACGACTGTAGGATTCCGTCATTTCCATTAGAATGAAAAAAAATTATCACTCCTTTCATTTCCTGAAGTGAAATGAAACGAATTTGAACAAAAATGAATGAAAGTGAATGAAAATTTTCTGACTGACCTTTGAATGAAAACAATGTTTTTGAACAGGTAATGTAGGGTCCCAATATAACGACCGGATTTCCAGCATTAAAGGTTGCGGTTTATCTAGTCGTACAATTCGCTGCCCAGAGGGGACTTTTGTTAAGAAAATTGATTGGGATTCGGACAGCTTAAGGAATGGAATAATTCTTAGCTGTTACTCGCCTGGTGGTTTAATTAGTAGTCCCGCAAACAATACGATTCGAACACATGGCCTTGGCTCCCTGGATTATACCGAAAATTGTATAGGAGTTCATGGAATATCTTATACTTATGACGAAAGAAGGCGTGCCGATGTCGGGCTCAGACCTGTTTGTGACACCGCTTCTGGCGATCATGTGATAATGTGTGGAAATAACCAGGCCCTTTCCGGGATGATGGTTACGATCGAGGGTAGATGTACGTTTCTCCAGTACTCAATTATGATTATGTATTTCATAATTACACCTGATAGCAACCAATTAAGACTTCAACAAGTTTCTAATTTTTGAGTTTTTTTATGAAAAACACGAACAATCCATTTTTTAACATTGGAAAGTACAAGGGAAATTACAAAACTTGAGAAGATAAATGCTAGAAAAATCCGCAGTTTAAAATCTGGTTTTCCCAAAATACCAAAGAAATACTCTTTTTTAAAGAAATTTTGGTGTTAGGGTAATTTATGCAGAAGACACATTTGCGTAGTATTTTATTTGACAAACTTTCAAGAAGAAGAGTATTTCTTTGTTATTTTATGGATAATTCGATGGTGCAAAGTATCAATATTAAAAATAATACCGACCAATATTAAAACGCTAATTTATCGGGCTTTTCGTCAAATAGACTTAGAAATTGGATACTATAATTGGTTACTATCAAGTGTAATTATGAATATCGCATCGAAGGAAAATCTTACTAAAAAATCAGGATACGAAAAGGTTAACTGTAACTGTAGTGGATGAAGTTGAGCAGGCTTCCAATTCCCTACACCCAGTTAAATGCAAAAATGTGATAGTCCAGGGTCCCTACTAAGTCCTCCAAGTCTTCTCACACACCGCAAATTATGTCAATAATTTCAAAACTTGACCACACTTGGCAATGGAGAAGCACAAAGTTTTATTACGACTACCGGTTCAAAGTTTAATGTTGCTGGTACAAATGGTAGATTGCTTCTGAGGTTTTATGCATTCAAACATACAAATATAAGTACACGGTTGTAGTCCCAAAAACTGACTGACCAATCACGAACAAGGGTCAAAAAGGTTCACTTATACAAATAAACTCACTTAAAATAATCTTAAAACTACAAATTAACTCCAGACTTTCTGGCACGTTGACTGAAAAATCGAGCTGACTACAACATGGACTGAATACCGCATAAAACTTGACAAAATGAGACAAAATTGCATACTGAAAACTCAAGATTAAACTTACATACTACACATGTTAAAATGAGACAATGCTCTCAACCTTCAAATTAGGGTAAAAATGATAAAATGACCATAATACAAAATTAAAATTATTCTGTCGGCGACATTCTCCCACCAAAAACGCGGTCGTGGCGTTTTCACTCCACTTCACGGAGCCGACGAGGGGACAGGGGACGCTGTCGTTGAATTGCTGGCGATTTGGGGTTCTGGACAAGCGGGAAAATTGTCTTCTTTGGGCATGACATCTAGAACGCATAATTTCGAAACTGGACGACGGTAGATGTGACCATTCGACATCTTCACATCTACTACTCGGATGAGCTTATCTGCGCCAGGGAAAATTTGGACAACTCTTCCTTTCGGCCATCGGTTACGGGACAATGCTGGATTGACTTCCACAACAACATCACCGATCTGTATTGGGCGAGAAAAAGAGCACCATTTTTCACGCCTTAATAATGTGGGGAGGTACTCACGGATCCACCTCCTCCAAAAGTGGTCCGCTAATTGTTGAGAGATTCGCCACTGCTTTCTCCCAAAGACTTCCTTCTCATCAAATCTTCCAATTGGTTGAAGATTGCTCGAGCGCCCAATGAGAAAATGGTTTGGGGTGAGCGCTTCTGGGTCATCGGGATCGTCTGGCACGTGCGTGAGGGGATGGGAGTTGACGACATGTTCTGCTTCCACCATCACGGTTGTAAGGACCTCGTCTGTTAGGGTCTTCTGGTTCAAGGTCGCTCCCAATGCGACTTTGACGGCTCGTACCATCCGTTCCCAGCTCCCACCAAAATGAGGACTGGCTGGGGGGAGGAAATTCCATTGGATGCCAATCACTGTACACTCTTCTTCCATTTGCGATTGGTTCAACTCTGCTAATGACTGGGTCAATTCATTTCTGGCTCCATGAAAATTGGTACCGTTGTCAGAAAATAAGGCTCGTGGACAACCTCTTCTTCCCACAAAACGACGAATTGCTAGGATGCAGGAGTCGGTCGTGAGGGAATTCGCCACCTCTAAATGAATGGCTCGGGTCGACAGGCAGGTGAAAAGAACTCCGTATCTTTTCTCCGGCTTCTCTTCACCACCACCTCTATAGGGCCAAAATAGTCCACTCCAGTAGCCGTAAACGGGTGGACATTGCTGTCGAGACGGTACTTCGGTAACAATCCCATTTCCGGTACGGAGGGTTTACTTTTCAAGTTGCTGCAAGCTTGACACGACATCTTCGCCTTCTTTACTGCGGCACGGAGGTGAGGTATTCTGGCGGATCTCATTGACAATCCGCTCGTGACCATGATGATCGCATGCCCAGTGATAGTAACGAACGATGAGCTGCGCACACGGGCTATTCCTGTCGAGAATTACAGGTCTTTTGACTGCTACTGCAATTCCCTTGGCGTTGTCTATTCTTCCTCGGACCCTCATAACTCCATACTCGTCAAGATATGGAGTGGCTTTGATTAGTCTGCTAGTGTTGGGTATACTTTGATTTGATGAGAGAGCTGCATATTCGGCTGGAAAGCTGGTCCGCTGACTGAATTTCCACCACCATTGCTCTGCCTTTTCCAGTTCGACAATTGTTAAGGATGAGGGATATTTATTTCTGTTCTTCTTGGCAAGGTGATGCTTCGCTGTCAATTGCCGACTGGTTAGAAACTGCACGAATCGCAATACATATGCAGTTGTACGGACGAGTCTTGTCCAAGATGAGAACTTTTCAGGGTCGATGAAGGGTTGCTGTTGCTGAATGAGAAACAATTGATTCTTTCTCAACTCAAATTCGTCGCCATCTAATTCTGCGTCGGCGAGTTCGGCTTTCTCCTTGAGCCAATCTTCTTTTGGAAGTTGGAGAAAGTCTGGTCCATTCAGCCATCTGCTTGTAGGACTCCAATCACAGGGTCTATCCATGCGCGTCAACTCGTCTGCAACGTTGAGCGCGGTCGGTATCCATTTCCACTGGGAGACGTCTGAGAGTTCTTGAATTTCTCCCACCCTGTTAGCCACAAATTGATGAAATTTCTTCCCATCTGCACGAATCCATCCAATGACCGTGCTGCTATCGGACCACAAAATTGTCCTTGTAATGGGAATCTCGAGTTCGGTTTTGATGAATTGAGCCAGGCGACTGCACATCAGGGCTGCTTGCAACTCGAGTCTCGGAATACTCAGAGTCTTCATGGGGGCGACTCTTGCTTTGCTCATGACTAGGGAGGTGTGGATTTCTTCATTCTTTTTTACTACCAAATATGCTGCTGCTCCAAAGGCTTCTTCTCCAGCGTCGCCAAACACGTGGAGTTGAACCTCATCTGCGCTCGATAAATTTGGGGAGTAGCAGCGATTGACTTCAAAAGTGGGCAAATTTCTCACTTCTTCAATCCACTTTTTCCACAATGAATGAGTAGGAATGGGGATTTCTTCGTTCCAGTCAACTTTAGAGCCAGGTAGCTTGTAGTAGAGCTCGTGCCTTTATTGTTAGCACCGTGATGAGCCCCAATGGATCATAAATTGACATTGTAAGTGCCAATAGTTCTCGTTTTGTAGGAATCCTTTCTCCGCTGAGTAGGTCTTCCTTCGTCTTCAGGTAGGAGAGAGAGAATGTGAAGATATCAGGATTTGGCTTCCAAAACAAACCAAGGACTCTCTCCACCAGGGAATCTTCACCAACGTCGAGATTCTTTGATTTCTCGGCGCGAAGCTCTTCTGGGATTGCTGCCATCATCTCTTCTGAATTCGACAACCAATTACATAAATTGAAACTTCCTTTTGCTTGGACGTGATGTACGTCGTGGAACATTTTGATGGCTTCTTCTGGGGTGTCACAACTGTCCAAGTAGTCGTCCACGTAATGGCGACGAACAATTGCTTCATGTGCTGCAGGAAACTCTTCTTTGTAGTCCTCAGCGTTACGATTTTTCGCCTCTTGGGCACATGATGGTGAGCAGGCTGCTCCAAATATGAGCACTCCCATCTCCAAAATGTCAGGATCTCGTGAACGATCCATGCCCCTCCACAAAAATCGCTGCGATTGGGCATCTTCTTTTCTGACCTTGACCCGATGGAACATATCTTTGATGTCGGCGGTGAATCCTACACGCCGCTGCCGGAATTTCAACAGTACTCCGGGCAGGGAGACCAACTTATCCGGGCCTTGGAGTAAGTGGTCGTTGAGACTGGAGCCGTGCGATTTGGCTGCAGCGTCGAATACGAACCTCAATTTGTTAGGTTTCTTCGGGTTGATTGCCATAAAGTGGGGGAGATAGTACGTGCGATTCGTTTCCTCTGCTGCCTCCTCTGGAGAAAGCACTCTGGCAAAACCCTTGTTCTTGTAGTCGTCAATCTTGGCTATGTATTGACGGGCAAATTCTGGATCTGAATCCATCTTTCGTTCCATAGTGGCGAGCCTTTTCATCGCCATTCTCCGACTTTCTGGAAGTTGCACTTCGTCATCCTTCCACAAGAGTCCTGTCTCCCACCCGTCTGATACTCTGACAAGTGTGGAGTCCAAAATCCTTTGCGCTTTGACATCATCTCGAGACCTCGGCGCCTCAATACATGGCTTGACACCAAACGCTTCAGTTGTGAACTGCTCCTTGACAAGTTGATGCAGTTCGTCATCCACCATTTCTCGGACATGATATCCGTACTTTTCCCGTGAGTGAAAGGGAGCAGGTCCACAGAGAGCCCATCCAAATAAGGTTCTCGTGGCTATAGGGGCGTTTCCTCGTCCAAATCTGACTTGACGAGAAAGGACAATGTCGGCGTGATCCATACCAATGAGAATTTTAGGTTTTCCCATATCGTAAGTAGAGAAGTTGATCCCTTTGAGATTATCGTACTTCTGCAGCAATTCTTTTCGCAATTGTTGTGGAGGAAGGGAAATATTTGGTGTAGTTTTCACCTTCCGCAAAGTTCGTACTATTTTGCCGTCGACTGATTCCATATCCACCTCGACGGTCTTGGTAGTTAAGGCCACATTCGTTTGAAAACAAGTGATATTGAGTGTCTTGTCTGGTCCTCTGATACCAGGCAAGTCGAGTTCACGTGCCACATCTTCATCTATAAGAGTGAGGGTTGATCCATCATCAAGGAACGCCAAAACTTCCATTTTCTTCCCACTCGGACCACGGAGAACGACGGGAATGACCTTCAGGCTAACAAATCCTGATGGTGTTACAGTGTGGACTGATCCGTTGATTGCTGCAACGGAACCAGGGGCAATTGTGTCTTGACCACTTGATTCACCTCCTGAATCTGGTGGTCTTCTTCTTGGGGCTTGATCTTCTTTGGTAAAATGCAGGAGTTTGTGGTGATCTCGGGTACAGCCATCGAGACCACATTCCTTCTTCGACCTGCAGTCCTTTGTAGCGTGACCGAAATTGAGACAACCGTAACAGCATCGGTTATCTCGGACAAGTTCCCACTTCTGACGGGGTGCCATCTTTGTGAAGGTGGGACAGGATTGGATCCGATGATCCATTCTATTGCAACAAGGACACTTTCTCTCTCGGCGATCGTGGTGTTCTTGTTTCTTCTTTCCCTCAGTGGTGACAGCATGAACACGTTCTTGCTGATTGTTTCGTCCTTTCGGGGGTCGAGTTGACTCAGCTTTGAAAGTAGGGGGACACAATTGACAGGCCAAATCTGTCTGCATTTCGATCCAGTCTGCAAATGAGTCGATTGATTTAGGATTTGTTGGGTTCAATTGCACCCACGACATCCACTGAAGTTGTTGCTGGACCGGAAGCTTGTCGACGAGTTCCTGTAGCAGGATGGGGTTGCTGAGGTGTTGTGGACAAGATAGCGAGACAATCGTACCTCTGAGATTCTGTAGTGCGATGCCAAATTCTATTAGTGATTCTAATTTCTCTGCTTTCACGGGAGGAGTTTCTCGTACTTTTGCCATCATGGATTTGATAATGTGCTCTGGAGAGCCGAACCTTTTCTTTAATTGCTGGATGACCATGGGGACGCTATTTGGGGAAATGAGGAGGCATTGGACTGACTTGATGGCGTCTCCTCTCAGGCACTTCTGCAGTCTGGCAAGGTTGTCAGCATTTGTGTACTGACACGTTTTGGTGCCGGACTCGTACGCTGCTATGAATCCAGGCCACTGCTCTGGGTGTCCATCAAATATGGGGAGATCTCTTCCTTGGACCTGACGCGCGAGGAAACGATCTGTCGAATTGCTTTGCTGTTGGATTGGTTGTGATCCCAATGCTTGCTGGATTGCCTGTGCAATCATTGTGGAGGCCTGACCTATGGCTGTGAAGTCAGGTTGCTGCTGGGGTTGGTAGCTGACGAATAACGGGTTGTGTGGTGGTGGTGCTGCTATTGTTCTTCCCCCACCTACTGGGGTTGGAGTGATGATGGGGTTTGAGATTTTCAACAATCTCGCTGTGAGGGCTTGGATTTTCTGTTCCTCTTCATCTTGATCATTACCAAGCGGTACAGATTTCGCTGCCCAAGATGTTGTGAGCTCGGTCTTGTCGACATGCTTGCTCACTTCTTCTGGAAGACTGACCCAGTCGGCGTCCAAATCTTCTTCTATTTGTGCATCCACCTCGGCGATTTTCTTTTCAGAGTCTGCCATCTGCTGGACTCGTTTCACGCGTTGCTCGTAGCTCTCGACTATGTATTTCAAATCGAGCATCAAGCTGGACATTGCTGACCTCTTGCTGTTGAGTTCTGTGGTCAAATTCAAAATTGACGATTGATTTGCAGCTTTCTTCTGTAAACTGCAGCTGTCGGATTTGCATTCTTCTTCAAGAGCAGTTATCTCTCTCTCGTGGAAGCCACTCTCTATTTGAAGTTTCAATATGCGATTTTCTATATCGTGTTTCTTCTCTATTAATTCCTCTTCAAGCTTTGATATCTTCTCCTCCGCTTCGGCTTGGAGGAGGATCTTTCTTCTTTCAAGGGCAGCACTACTGCAGCTGCTACCTCCACTCTTGACGAACTACAAATTAACTCCAGACTTTCTGGCACGTTGACTGAAAAATCGAGCTGACTACAACATGGACTGAATACCGCATAAAACTTGACAAAATGAGACAAAATTGCATACTGAAAACTCAAGATTAAACTTACATACTACACATGTTAAAATGAGACAATGCTCTCAACCTTCAAATTAGGGTAAAAATGATAAAATGAGCATAATACAAAATTAAAATTATTCTGTCGGCGACCGTAACATTGTATTTTACAGCTGGGTATATCAAAATGTCCGAATTATTATGTTCAGAGGTCGGAAATGTTGAAGATATATGTCGTGCTCATGACAAGCGGAATGTCCTCTTTATCTGAGACGCTTCCGGGGCTGTGGCACGATTAAAATGCACTTGGTCCAAGATGGTCGGCTATGGGAAAAGTTCATCCTCGAGTGAAACAGAAACAGAGGAATTTAATTTCCATAGTGAGTTTGGGTTTGAAATGGGTTTCGCAGTATACGGACTTTCCGCCAATTTTAAAGCTAATGTGGGCACAAGTAATACTACCGGATATAGCTGGACAACCACTCAAGAATCCACGTGGGCGGAGGAAATCACGATCCAAGTCGAAGCTGAAGCCCCGCCCGGTTGTGTGACAACCGTTTATGAAATAGTTGGCGAATGTTCGTTTATTGACGTGAGACCTTCCAGCTTTCAAAGAACGGATAATTGCACTGGAACCTCAATTATGACCGAGGTAACAATTCCGGAAGGGTTTGATATTTCGAAAGTATTTGTTAGCCATGTTCCAAATGAGATTTGGGAGGTCCTTGGGGTATTCAAGTAAATGTGGCATTATTTTTATCGTGTTGAATTAAATGATTAATTTTGGAAATGCCAAGGTTTTCATTTGTTATTTCAAAAACTTATTCTTAAACCAGGCATCCTTTGTGCACTGTATCCTTAGAGAATTTCGAGATAGGGTCATACCAGTTCAAAATTTCTCAAAATTGTTATTTCCAGATTTTAAAGTTTGAGAATAGGGGAGAGCTTACGATTTATGCTGGGAGGGTATGGTTGTCAAGGGAAATAAAATACTTTACACAGCATCATATTCCGAGTTTAATTTTGCTAATTAAAATATTTAGAAAGCCATTGAACTATGATCGGTATGAAAAACTGTACCTAAAAATTATTCGCATGGAATATTTTATTTTTCTTTGCAACCAAACTCTCCCAGCATAAATCATCCACATTGTCAAAGTTTAAAATCTATAAAAAAAATTTGAGAAATTTTGAACTGACTTGATTGTCGTAGGTTCAGAAATAATCCAAGGATGCAGTCACAGTCACAGGACCCTGCTCATAAGCATATTCACTTTTAACTTGCTTTGGTATATTCTAAGCCTGATCATTAATCATATAAGTCTTTTAGATGATCTATGGTATCTGATTAAACATGTCATGAGTAAACTTGAAATCATGAAATGTGTATGTGCATATGCAGTGACAAAATAAATCTAATACTTATAAAAATTCAATAAAATTGCACTTATTTCAAGAATAGAAATAAATTTTTAATCGAATTTTACTTACCAGTCGTTGTGATATTGGACATCTTTTCCCTGTTGGCTTTTTTCTGCACGACCGTTTCCTCGTCCATTTATTCGGCTTCTTGGCGTCGTTTTTTTAACATGGCTTCATCCTCGTCGATCTCATCGTCAATCTGTTTCCGGTCCGCGGCTTCGCGTTTAAGTCTAATTAATTAATTACATAAATTTAACGTACCTCAGGTTGTGTGACTAAATAATGAACGCAGTGCTTGGTAACTTTGTAAAATCCGTGTCTTTAGTAAAATAATTTTAGAAACTTTTACAAAATAAAGAGACGCACTTGATCTGAGGATGAGTAAACTTAACAAAATATGATCTAATTTTCCTGCATAATATTTGTGAAATTTTGCAAATGTTTGAAAGTTTAGAGAATTTACTGATATTACAATGTTACCAAGGCCTGCGTGAATTGGCTCAATATATTACAAATTTACAAATTTTGAAAGTTTTGTTGGATTTTCAAGCCGGTAAAGTAAAGTCTTGAAGACAGAAATATTAAAAGATTTACAGGTTTGCATGGCATGAGACGGAAAAAATGAAACATTGTAATATTTCATGCCATTACGAGAAACTTTGCAAATTTTCCCGGTGATGATTTCTCACTTTTTAATTTGTGTACTTGAAAAAAGTCTAATATTTTACAACTTTCAACTTAAAGTTTGTAAGTTTACAGAATTTTACAAAGTTACCAAGAACAGCGTGAATTGTGTCAATATTTAGGTGTATAAATGTGCAATCGTATTGAGGAACATAATTTAATGCATTTTTTGTAAATTTGCAAACAATTCGCAAAAATAAGAGACTGACCTTTTAATCATAATATTTCTCACGATGGCTTCATCCCCCTCCATCCGAGAGGTTTGTGCCTCGTAAAGGTCAAGGCTGACGGGACGTTTGTTAGGGGCCGTTCATAAATTACGTAACGCAAAAATCGCGATTTTCTAGACCCCCCTCCCCCCTTTAACATGTAACATAGGCATGATATCATTGGAGCCTTAGACCCCCCCTCCCCCCCTCTTGCATTACGTAATTTATGGACGGTCCCTTACTACTTCCAGTCGTGGTTGTGGCGTCGTCCCGTCCTGTGCCCGGGATCACTGCAGGATTACCAAATATCAGGGTGGGCGTCACCACGGACTTTCGACTTCCGGTTTCTTGCAGGCTGCCTTCATAGTCGTGGTCATGATGTCGGCGCAATTGGCGACCTTCGGAGGTACTGTGGATGCAAAATAGTAATTTGTAAAATTATGTAAAAATTAATAGCGCTAATCCTAAGCTTGTAAATCGATTAATTTTGTGGGATAATGTATTATAAAACTTAAGGTTGCATTGGATGATGATATGATACGGCATAGATTTTTAATCTCACTCTACCCCAATTAAGCCCACAGGTGAAATATGCGACGCCACCTATCCGTCCATACCGCTGCATGTTATTTAATGTGATGTCACTGATTCACAAGAAAGTTTTGAGCGTCACACCCACTGGTGCTTCAGACTTGGTTTTGGCCTCAAAAAAAGCTCCAGAATGTTCTTCGTCTACTCCCGGATATAAACATTTTAAAAAGTTTCTGAAAATGTTTGAAATAATGTATCAAAGTTTTCAAAAAAATTAATTTACACTTTCGGCAACTATTTTTAAATGTTTATAGCCGGGAGTAGACGAAGAACATTCTGGAGCTTTTTTTGAGACCAAAACCAAGTCTGTAGCACCAGTGGGTGTGACGCTCAAAACTTTCTTGTGACCTAGTTCCTAGTTTTTATTTTTTAAGCAGCTGGCGTTTTAACAATTGTGGATGGATTTTATTCATTGTTTTTGAAAAATGATCTGAATGAGTTGTATTTGGAAAATTTTAGTTTTTTTTAAGTTAAAAAAATTTCATGCGCAAACGGCAAAGGTCATAAGGTCAGATCTCACATAGCCCCATAAATGGGGTATGGTTGGAAAGGTCCTGATGAGAGGATTTAGAATATATATACTTTGTGGGGTCTGGGACCACCCCCTGATTATCTAGAGACCAATGAAAATTATTGAGTTTTCCTGGATTTAGTGCCATGTTACTGTTTCATTTGCTGGGACTCTGAAATCGAGGATAGAGTTTTACAAGGGAACTGGCCAAGGTGTACAGCTGCTCCTCCCATAATGGACGAAGTCGGGATTACATTACCCGAACAGCCGAATTACTTTATTATTTAACATCACTCATTTTTATTTTGGCGTTCAAATTATTCAATTTCGTAAGACTTGTACGCCAAAATCAAAATAATAGAAGTAGAAATCACACGAAATTGAATAATTTGAACGCCAAAATAAAAATGAGTGATGTCAAATAATAAAATAATTCGGCTGTTCGGGTAATGTTATCCCGACTTCGTCCATTATGGGAGGAGCAGCTGTACACCTTGGCCAGTTCCCTTGTAAAACTCTATCCTCGATTTCAGAGTCCCAGCAAATGAAACAGTAGCTCTCAATCTGCTCCTGTGTTAATAACGTGGTGGTATACATGAGACACCTGTCTCACAAATGGCTCGCAATGCTGAGTTTTCCTGACCCTGATGATGATAAAAAAAATTTGAAAATAATGTTCTGAAAATTTTGAAGGTATTAAATAGATAATTATGTTTTGATGTGAAACAAATAAATCATTGTTCAAAAATATGAGAAGTTTATTCAAATGTTGCAATCTATCAGTCTTTATACTGCTTTTTCTTACAATGGATGTCTCCCAAATGCTCACAGATTTAGGCCAAAGTAATGCCAATCTAAATTTATAGAAATATGAAATTTGCAAAAGGTAGTATTAACTATCTGTCAATGGTCAAATTTGGCGGAGATATTTGCATCCAAAGAGGCGAAAAGGGCACTAAAGCTGAGAAATTTTGAATTGTCCAAATTTACTGCGCGTTTTCTCCTCTTCAGATGCAAATAGCTCCGCCAAACCTGCGCATTGGCAGATAGTAGGAAAAAAAGTTGGTACAATTTATCTCTTCATTTTTTATTAGTTACATTTGTTATTCAAAAACTAACATATAAACACGGACATCATTCAAAAGTAGGATCACATTTCATACAATATTCCAAAAAAATGTGCATTATATAATTAATTATGGTTTAAACTGAGGATTTAGTCGTCGTCGAGGAGTCCGTTGTGGGTGGCGTTGACGTTCCAGTTGAAGTAATCGCTCGCCGTGAGAAGCCAACTCCAATACCAAATGTTGAACAGGATGAAGACCACGGAAAAAATTAGAAAAGCCCATTTCTCCGTAAATCTGAAAATCAAAAATATTCATATAAAAAGATACAAATCTGGAGCAAAAAAAACGCGTTTTTGAAAAACAGGAAGAGTTACACGATACAAAAAATTAAATTGAAAATTATTCAGTGAAACAAAAGTTCAACAAGTTTTAAAGTATGGAAAACAAAGTCTTTGACTTTGAATTTTTTGTGAAATTTTAAATTTACGAGAGTCCAAAATCAAAATTTGCTACGAATGTTATAGATCGTCGACGTTTAAAAAAATCAGGTTCAAAGTAATCTTACAATGTGAAGAGATTCGATGTAGGTTGAAATTTAAAGAGTTATTTTACTTAAAGTGTAACAACTGCTCGGACATTTATCATAAATAAATTTGGCATGAATTATATGTACAACTCGGGAAAAACTAGTGCAAGGTTTACCGTAAATTAGCAGTTTTTCGGGTATAAGTAACCACTTGCAACAAAATTACCACCAGAAAGTGGTTTCTTGCAAGTATTGCTTTGCACTGCAAGAAATGTCACAAACCTCCAAGAAACTAAACACTGACCGCAAGAAATTGAATTCTTGCAGCTATTTTGACCTGCAAGAAATTTACGGAGCAAGAAACTCCTTGCCGACGTTATACTTGGTACAGGGCATGGTGCATATTTCGTGCAGTTTCTGGCATTTTCGTGCACCTTGCATTTCTTCCTTTTCTTGCTTTCCAGTGCAAGAAATGTAGCAAACCTTTAAAAAGCTAAACACTGAAATTTGGCACAAATTATTTGTTCACTTACTCTGCGAAAGACTCGTAATATTTGAGATCTTCGCTTCTCACACTGCGAGACGGGCTAGGATCACGGTCATGATTTCCATTCTTTTTCCCACCCCCACTTCCGCGACGTTTCTGCATCTGTTGATGGATAAGATGAGATGAGTAAAAGGACCTTATTGGTTGATAAGAAGAAGAAATTCATAACACAAATTTATTACAAGTCTTTCATGTTCGAGTCGTTTTTCTTCGGCGTCCTCGCGAAATGAGCGAATCCAAACGAGCAGGGAGAACTCGAGGAGGGTGAGAAACACGAAAAAGATGCAGAAAACCATCCAAATATCGACGGCCTAGTTTTTACAAAAAATGACAAATTTGAAGAAGCTATTTATAAATATTAAAAAAACAAGAGCAAAGTTTCACAAAATTGCTTCAATATTTCATTTTTTTTAATGTTTTAAAAAATATTTTTAATAATTCTTATACATTTATTCTTACTATATTATTTTATTTTTCCAATTTATTTACCTTAACGTAGCTCACGATGGGTGTTGATTCTCTAAAAAAATACAGATAATGACGGATAATTTAATTTCGAGGTACCATAATTTCTGTATTTGTTGGAAAGTTAATAATGTAAAACTTGATAATCTTAGTTTTCGAAAATATGAGATAAACCTACAAAAATTTGTCACGATTAAATTGTTTAAAGTTTCGTAAACATGCACATATTTAAAATTAGAAATTCTAAAACCTCAAAATATTATCTCGGAAATGCAACCTAAATACTGTAAATTAATTATTGTTTTTCTTGTTCATCCATAAATGGCGTTCAACCTTATGATAAAAACTCTACTGCTTCTCAGATTTTGATGCCCTTTTGGACATTTTGTGTCACCCCGTGAGTGAAAAGTAACCCCACGTGGTTGTTGATGCCATGCGCTTACCACACCCACTCAAAGGGACAAAAATAAATAAAAATCGCCTTGTTTAAACGCTCGCCAAAATACAATTTTGCTCGGATTTAGGAAACCCTTGTAATCCAAGATAGTTGTTTTATCGTGTTCGATAAATATCAATCTTAACTTTAACCTCATTGAGGCCATGATTCTTCTAAAATCACTCGAGTACGATATTCAATTCATAACTGCATCTGTTAAATTCCCATGATTTTCTATAAAAGACCAATATTTATTTCAACCAGTTTCCAAGTTTTGAGTTTTTTATACGAAAATCATGAAACATCCACTTTTTAACATTGGTCGGTATAGGGTAAATTCCAAAATTTGTGAAGAAAAACATACAAAAAAGTCAACTTTTTACCATCGAGTTTTCCACAAAATAATACCAAACAAACACTCGTGTTTCGAAATGCATAGGTCATATGACGAATTTGGTGTAAATGAGGTTAAAAATTTCTTCACGTATGTTTTTTAAAATTTCGCTTTGAAATGTTTGTAAAATTTTGTAAAGGTCTGTAAGTTTACGAAATTTACGGTTTTTACAATGTTACCATGCTTGAATTTCTTCAATACTTTACAAAATTTATTAAACATTTCTAACATTTATGCAAATAAGTTATTTACGTACCGTACGGAGGAGAACATTGCAGTGAGAGTTAGCAGCGTCGTCATGGAGATGCCGATACGGGCCTCGACCATTCTGGCCGGCACGAGAAAGCAGAGCCACGTGATCACGATGAAGAACACGGAGGGCAGGTAAGTCTGTACCATGTGGTAGGAAAGCTTCCTCCGCGCCACGATCGTGAACGAGAGGCCGTCATACGTGTCATCTACAGGAAGAAATAAATATTGACGTGAAAAGTGAAAGTTCAGAGGAGAAAGTTAAATCGTTAGAGGTTTTGTAATTTGCGCCATAGTTCAATTTATAACATTGGCGTAAGTTGGCAACGAATGAACAATGAACGAGATGCACTGCCTTAAATGTCGCCTATAGGAGAAAGAAATGTAGATTTAAAAGTGAAAGTTCAGAGGAGAAAGTTAACCTGCCCTGTTTTTAGCAATGTGCGCCATAGGTAAATTTATAACATTGGGCCCAAGTTGAACGATGAACCGTCATGCAAAACGATCCTACAAATAAAGGCGAAAAGTGAAAGTTCTGAAGGGAAAGTTTGACCGAATTTAAAATAAACTTAAAAAGTTGACATTATAATATGACTAGAATTTGGAAATTATTCGCATAGGTTTATTATATTAAAATTTCCAAAATTTCCGAAATTTCGAAAACTCGCTGATGGAAAACCTTAAATTTGTGTTTGCAGTTTGTATCACAATGTTACTGCCATTCCTGATATTTACAAATTTTACTAGTACCTGAAATACTCATAGATTAAAACGTAATTGAAATTGCGATCTTACCAAGGACTAATCAATTTCTCAACTTGACAAACAGTTTGCGAAATATTTTTGCGAAATAAAAACATGCCGATTTGTTGGGTTAATTTTTGAGTACAAATCTCTGTCTACGCAACAAAGTAATATGCAAAAAATGCATTAAATGAGAAAAAGTTGATACGAAATATGACACAAGTACGGGTGAAAGTTGTGGAGAAAGTGGGAAATGTGAGACAGATGAGGATTTGGTGAAAAACGGGTAAAAATCGGGGGAGAAAGTCCGCATTATTATTTTTTATCTCACTGTTTGATTCATGGAAGACTTGATCAATCTTAATTTCTTGAATGTCGTCGGCCTCCAGGTCGAAATTAGGGTCTCCCGGATCCTGCAGAAATACCCCGTTTCGTAACCAGCTCAAGTCAAGGTCAACATCAAAATAGGAGTCTAGAAGAATTTAAAAAACGATGTGCAAAAATTAGCATAATTTAAATGTGCAAAAATATACACATAAATTCCACTCACAACTTCTCAAGTGAAAGACACACTTATGCGTGTCTGCCGGATAGTAAAAGAAATCCATTTCACACGCGAGACGGACTGCGACCCTGGTTTACATAATTGAAAAAATCAAATAATTTATTTACGGAATGAGTTTTTAAGTGTCCAAAAATCGAGGTAAGGTTTATAAAAAAGTAGGTCTTCAAATGTAAAATTTATCAACTTTTTCGTCAGTATGTTAATTATTATAATAATAATTATTATAAAGGTAATGTAAGGTTAATTATTATAAAAGTTAATTATGACACGATTTATTTTCAAATCTGTAACACCGTAATGTTAGAAACATTTCGATAACCGTGGGGAATAATACAGCTCCAAATTCAAAAATATTCATCTTTTTAAAGCATTGAAAATTGCACTTGACAATATTTGCTACATTTTGACGTCCATAGCAGCAAAATATATTTAATCTATAACTGGATAAAATTTAGGTCTTATGTGGATTTGGGTAAAGCTGAATCTGAATGTAAAATGTAAACCTTTTTGATAATTATCTGAATGTAAAGCTAATTTTCATACAAATATTTGTAAAAGGTTAGAAAGTTTATGAATTTTACAAAGTTTCGAAAGACTGCGTGAATTGATTCATTATATTTTTTCCCTAACAGAAAAACATGTCAAAGACTTGTCTACGATTGTATAAATGTGCCGCAAGGTGCATTATTTTATGTAATTTACTTACCTGAAAGTATATGAAACGAGGCCGGTTCCGGGTGAGAAGAGGAGCGTGTGGGGTGTGGCCATCAATTCCGTCTTATGCACGCGTACCGTCTCATCTATTCATTAAATTAGGGTTAAATGTTCTTCTTAATCAGGATTTTTCGTATCCCGCCTCATTTCGCGAATAGTATGCGAAATAATTTCGCGAAAAAAACATGCCGGTTTGCTGGGTAATATTGTGCACCAACAATTTTAAGCGAAGACTTTCCGGAAAGAAAAGTTGACAACTTTTGTTGATATTCGCAATTTTCAATTTGCTAAATATCGTGAAGCTGCTAAAAAAATGGCAAATGAGATTTTACACAAACTTGGTAAGACACATAATCCACTTGCAATTCGAGTACATCTATTTATTTTTAAGGGTATAAAGTATTCACGCTATTTGTTAATGGCGTAAATGGTTCACAAAATTTGTGCTTATTCCTGTTTTTTTTACAATACGACCCTTTGTAAATGAAATTGCACAGCCCCATCAAAAATATACCGTTTCAAATTTTTGTCAAAATCAAATTTTCAAATTTTCCAAAATTGTACCATTTCCCAGCAACTTGTTTTTGCGAAATTTCCGGCACATTCCTCAAAACTTGCCAAGTTATGCGCTCAATTTGCTCAATTTTTGGTGAGTACGCCCATTAATTAACTACATAAATTAATTAACTATGATTGAGTTAATTAATTAAAAATATTAAGACTACGAACGAACCGATATAAATGTCGGGTTGCCAAATCTTCCTCAAAAAGACAGGATTAAGCGTGGTGGGTTTCGTGGGTTTGGACCTTAAGGCGTTGAAAGGGTCGAAAAGGATCCCGTCCACCCATTCAACTTTCATGTCCAAGTCCAGCACGATTTCCTGTGGAGAAAAAAGAAAACATTAATAAATTGTAATGCTGAGAATAATTTTGTTTACCGGTTTGGTAATAAATTGCACACTTTTCAATTAGAAAGGACATTATCTGCAGATATTTTCATCAATTTAATCGTTTCAAAAATAAACAGTTTGGAATAGAAGGTACTCACTTTTTGCTAAATTTTTTATCCAGGACGAAAAATTTAAAATTTTTAACCAGCTTGATAATTGGTTGATATTAATGTGAAAAGAGATTTGACCTTAAACAATTTTCGAAATTTTGCGAGTAAAACATTTGTGAGTTGTGAGTAAAAGTGACACCATTTTTTACAAGAAAGTCGACACTCGTTATCTCGTGTTTCAAACAAAGTACAAGAAATCAGGCGAACCTTTACCAATTTGATGCAGCCTGTTACCAACTTGATAAAAGATTTGTTTACCGGCTAAGAATTGTACAACAATTTCATAAACAGATCTTAAGCTTTAAATCATTTTGAAAATTTAGGTATTAGGAAGAAAAAAAAACAAATAAAGGTGGATGCTGGTAATTGGTAATAATTTGGTCTACCGGCTTGGTAATAACCAGTGAGCAACCTTTTAATTTTGCTAGTACATTATCTTTGCATATTTTTATTAGTTTAAAAATTTCAAAAATAAATGGTTTGGCGTTTAAGGTATCAAAAATAAATGGTTTGGCGTTTAAGGTATACAGTTTTTATTAAATCTTATTTATTTTTTTCCCCAAGGAGAAAATTGACACTTGTATTCACCTCGAAAGGGAATAAAATACTAGAAATCAGGTGAACCATTACGAACTTGACAATAATTTACTACTAAATTGATAATAGATTTATTTACCGGTTAAAAATACTACAAAAATTTTATACACTGTTAAAAACCTGATAGAGACACATATATTCTCCGTACTGGTATTGATTTGGTAATAACTTCCTACCGGATTGGTAGTAGTTTGTTTTTGAGTTGTAAGTTTTTCATTACCACAAAATAATTAAACGGTAATGCCAGTTATTACCAGTGTCGGTAGAGTTATGTGGTACCACATTCCTAAGATAAGTTTGGCGTTGACACTTTTTCATTTGAAATTCAAATTTTGAATGTCCTCGTGGAACGAAAGTTCAATACAAAATTGTACCAATTATGAAACCTGTTATCAAATTTGATATTAGCTTGATAATTGAGTAATTTTGATAAGAAAATCTACGATCTTGAAATAGTTTTTTAACGTTTTCTGATTTCAAAATTTAAGTTTGACGTAAAAGTGACACATTTTTTCCTAAATTTTCTGCATTTTTTATTGAAAAAAATTGACACTTATTGTATTCACTTTTTTAAAAAAATACTAAAACAATGAAGAATTTCATTCATGATAAATAACATCTAAATCATTTTGGGAATTTAACACAAATACGTTTGATGTTAACTATCAACAATTTTTTGCAAAATTTTCTTTATATTTTAGCGAGAAGAAAACCGACAGGTGTTTTATTATCTCGTGCTTAGAAGAAAGTACAAAATCAGGTGAACCGTAACCAATTTGACAATAGTTTATTACCAAGTTGATAATTGATTTAATCACCGGCTAAGAAAATTACAAGGAGTGTACTCTCATGGAGATGTGCAGCCCTTACTGTCGAATTTTTATAGCATTATGAAAAATTTTAAACTGAGCATTATGAAAAATCCCGAAACATGTGTTCAATTATTTATGTAAGGCTACATAATTATCGATGTTTCATAAAAATCGGAACAAGATCGCTGGCGTCATCGCATTGTAAGAAAAATTTTAGTTTGGAGTCAAAGTTAGACATTTTTGTTTAATTTTCTGTTTTTACCGAGGAGAAAGTTAGTACTTTTATTTTTCGCCTTGTATTTCGAACAAAGTACAAAAAATTAAAAAAGCGTTATCAATTCGATAATAATTTGTTATAAAGGTGCTAACGCTCTGATTTATTTTCCAGTTAAAAAAATTAAGCGAGGATAAAATTATGAGATTCGACCTGTGGTGTATTTTACCACGGATGAAACTATGACACTTCTCGTGAGCCGTTAAGGTCGGGATGGGGGTGGTTGATGATTTTGCAACATTCACAAAATAACAATATTGTTCACCGCCGTGGTGCTTATTACACTGTCTTTATTTTTAATAGAAAACCAATTAGTCCAATCACATTTATAAAACTTAGTCGAATTTAAAAGACAGGGAAGTTCCAATACAAAAACATTGAGACACAGACTTTTAAGTGGACAATGCTTCTTCCACCGAGTCTAAACTGGAACTTAACAAATTACAACTTTTCACAAACTTAAAAGTACTCACTTCCCACAGACAAAGTCCACCCAGATTTACAATTCACCAATGAATGAGTAGTCTACCGACGCTAGGGTGATACCGTCACAAAATAAAGAACCAATGAGACAAAAGGTGAAAAAGGTTCAACAAGTTCAAGGGAGTACATTTTTACAGATAAAATACGAACAAAATTCTACTTAAACTCCGTCAAGCTGGCACCATTCAAATTACTTTTCGTCCTCTTGCCAGTCTCAACATGCCTCTTCAATACCAAAGTCATACAATTATGGGTCAAAATCATGCAAACCATTTTATCATCATATCGCATTAAAATCATGTATATTTTTAAATCAAATTATGTAAAACGACGACACGACCTTTAAATTATTTGGCCAACTTATTAATTAAAAAGAATTAAGCTTGGCGTATAATGGACAATTTTGGCAAATGTTTCTTAATTTTTTCACCGAGGAGAAAATTGACACTTGTTTTATTATCTCGTGTTTCAAATAAAGTACAAGAAATCAGGCGAACCGTTATCTTTAAATCATTTTACGAGTTTAGCCATAAGGAAAAATTAAGTCAGGCATAAAAGAGCTACAAGTTTTGTTAAATTTTCTGCTTTTACAGAGGAGAATGTTGACACTTTTGATATTTACCTCATGTTTCAAACAAAGTACAAGAAATCAAATAAACCGTTATCAATTTGAGAATAATTTTTTACCAAGTTGATAACATTTTGATTTATAAACCGGTTAAAAATCACTAAATAAATTGAATGAAGAGACTTCGACGTTTTAATCAATTTGAAAATTTACTCCTTAAAAAGATAAGTTTGGCGAAAAAAGAGCCACCATTTTCATTGAATTTTCCTTATTTTTTACCGAGTAGAAATTCGACACTGTTTTTTCATGTCGCGGCTGGAAGAAAGTACAAGGATAATTCCAAGTACAAGAAATAAAACTAACTAATCTGTTACCTATTGATAATACGTAACTAGTTACGACTTCGATAATAGATAATTTCATTTTAAAAAATAGAGTAAAATACAAATAAATTACGGTACTGGGAATAATTTGGTTTGCTAGTTTGGTAAGAGTTTGCAATCAGTTAGCACATTTTTCATCTTAATTTGAACAATTTATTTGCCCAGGTAGAGTAGTTTTATCTATAAAAGTTTTTAAGAATTTCATCTTTTCAAAAATTCACACTTTGCCGTAAAAGATACACAATTTTTGTTAAATCTGTAGAATCTTTAGAATTTAGTTATTAGGAAGAAAAAAACAAAAATGAAGTGCAATGCTGGTAATAATTCGGTTTACCAATTTGATAATGACTTGCAACCAGTTTGCACACGTCTTTTCATCTGACAAAAATATCTTTAGATGTTTTTATTAATTTCAAAAATTTCAAAAATAAATGGTTTTGCATCGAAGGTACACAATTTTGTATTAAATTTTATTTTTTTTACCACGGAGAAAATTGACTTTTGTTTTATTCACTTTGCATGCGAATAAAATACTTGAAGTTAGACGAACCGTTACCAATTTTGGTTATAGTTTACTACCATGTTGATAATCGATTTTCTCCTTAGAGGTTAAGAATATTAGAGTGATTACATGCTCTGCTCATGTAACAATGTAATTAAAGTGTAAACTTTACATCATTTTACGAGTTTAGCCTGTTAGCGAGTTTTGGGCCATGATTTTTGCTAAATTTCCTTCATTCTTTTTACCGAGAAAACAGTTGACGCTTATTTTATTTTCACCTTGTGTTTCGAACAAAGTACAAGAAATCAAATCAACTTTTTTTTACCAAGTTGATAACATTTTTCGATTTATTTACAGGCTAAAAATTACTATACTCATAAATTTTGGAAATTTGTCCATTCAGAAAAAGTACGTTTGGCGTTAAAGAGCCACAATTTTTGTTAAATTTTCTTTATCCTGTTTACCGAGGAGAAAGTTGACACGTTTTACTTTTACTTCGTGTTTCGAACAAAGTACAAGAAATCAAATAAAGTGTTACCAATTGAATAATTACTTGTTACCAAGTTGATAACGTTTTGATTTGTTTACCGGCCAATGTTTTCTTACTTACCTCACTGAGCTCGTCGATATCTCGAACGCTGCGTATATTGAGGAAAACGAGGACCGGAACCGGGCTCAATTTACTGACTTTGATCCCAAACAATTTTCCCGCATCGAGTTTCGGAATTTCTAAATTGTTGTAGTCCTCGGGAAGGTAAAGTTCCCCTTTTTTCGCAGGTTTTGGCGTCACCGAGAGGTTTTTATTGCCAAAAAGGAGATGTGGTGGGAATGGGAAGGGGGGTTGACCGGGACGAGGGGGTGGTCCACTTCCGGGTCGAAACATGGCGCCAGGAGGCAGTGCTGCCCCCGGAGGGAGAACGACGCGTCTTGGAACAGTTCCGTTCTTGTTGGGGGGTCCGGTTGCTAGGAGGAAATTAGGCAATTATTGAGGGTTTTCACATCACCTTAATTTGTAACTGTCATGAATAGCGTAAATTTACGACATCTACGAAAACTCCATGCTTACGAAGCTTTGTAAATTTACTCAAGGTTGAGGCATTTTTTTCGTTCGTAAAAAATCTTGTAAACATAAAAAATCATGATATTTCGAACACCATAATTACCGATAATATCAGGCATAAGGAAAAATGAATAAAAAGTACGAAATATTTTTTATGAAGGATTATTCATGTCAACCCGTCGTAAATGACGTAAATTGAGGAATATTTTTGACGAATCCAAGCAGTTACGAAGGTCGTGAAAACCCTCATTAATTTTAGGAGGGAGGAAGAGCATCATTTTTAATTGAAGAGGCAATTCACGTTGACCTTGGTAATCTTTGTAAACCTTTTACAATTCAAGTTTTGTAAAAAGAAACATGTTCCACATTTCTATCGAATTGTCTTAATTCTGATAGAGTTTATGTATCGATTTAAAAAAGTTCATAAAATTTGACCAGTTTACAAAATTTATATAATTTACATATTTTAGAGGTCTACTAAATTTAATTTTTAAACAATTTTTGAAGTGTATTTTTGCCTCTTTGAGTGGGTGTGGCAAGCACATGGCATCAACAACCACGTGGGGGTCACTGTTCACTCACGGTGTGATGTAAAATGTCGAAATGGGCATCAAAATCTGAGAAGGGCAAGTTTTTCTCCAGAGGTTGAACGCCATTTATGGATGATGAGGAAAACTAATAATTAAATTACAGCTTTTAGGTTGCATTTCCGAAACGAAATACTATTTTGATGTTTTAGAATTTTTAATTTTAAATATGTGCATATTTACGAAACTATAGATAGGCTTATCTCAAATTTTTGAAAATTAAGATTATCAATTTTTACATTATCAATTTTCCAAAAAATACAGAAATTATATCACCTCGAAATTAAATTATCCCTTAGTTTCCATGTTTTTTGTAAAGTTGCTCATGGTCAGGTCAAGGGTGTTTCTTTATTTTGTAAAAGTTTGTAAAATTATGCTACGAAATTACCAAGGCTAGCGTGAATTCAGGCATTGGCTTTCTTATCGGAGTAAAAATATTTTAAATAGGGGAGAAATATGCCGTAAATAAATGACATGGTCATAAATATGCAATAATCGATTAATTACCGTTCATTCCTGGCGGTGGGAGTGGCATTGGTGACACCAATTGACCTCCAGAATTGGTCCCATTTTTCGTCGGGGGAGGTGTCGTCGTCGTCAGCGTTGAGTTTATCACGCTGGTCGGTGTGGCTAGAGAAGAATGAATATTTATTAATAAATTGTTGCATAATTAATTAACTCCGAATTTTGTGTAAGTTTATGCCACAAAATTCTATAGGGTAGGAAAACCTAAATTAGTAAAGTGTAAAGTACAATATTTTTTTGATGAAAGGTTTCTGACTTTGAATTATATAAACTAATTTTATTACTGGTTAACATATTGAATTTTTAAAAATTCATGTTTTTGGAATGAGAAAAAAATGGAAAATAATAATATAAAGAATTATGAGTTTAAATTTTTGAGAGGTTGACGACTTTAGTGAATTCGGATTAATGTGTAAGTGCTATGAAATTAAGGAAGGTAGCGTGTGTACTAGAACGCGTTTAAGTTCAATATTTTGTAAATTTATTTTTTTATGAATTGTACAAGGAACTTTTTAATTTTTATAATTAGGAATTCTTCAACTTTTAATCGTTTTATTAGTTTTGCAAATTCGACTATTTTTGCAGAGTTATTTATTTGCATGAAAAAGCTAAAAATAATTATACTAATAATACCTATTGGAAATTTATAAAATTTCTTATAGATAATTGTAAATTTAAATAATTGTTTTCAAGAATGAGCCAGATTTTATAAAAATATTAAAATTGCTAAAGGTTGATGTCACTATTGAATTCGAATTAATGTGTAAATGGTATAAAATTAATGAAGATCTCAAACAGCAAAGGGAACCACAGAAAATTTATATGCAATATTTTATTGACTAGTTTTCGTCATTTTGTTTATTGATTCTTCTCTTTGCATGCAAATATCTCCACCAAACTGAAGCATTAGGAGATAGTGCATTTGGCAAATATTAATTTAATTTGTGATCGATTACGTATTAGAAAAATGAAATTTTCAGGAAAAACCATTTCCTGATCATTTACGTTTGACCGATCGATAATAATAGAGTATTTTATTTTTCTTGACAAACAAACTTTCCCAGCATAAGGCACCCATATTTTCAAACTTTAAAATCTGTGAAAAAAATTGGAGAAATTTTGAACAGACAGTCGAACGTCTAGAAATTCTTCAAAGATGTAGTCAAAGGACCAAAAATAAAGTATTTTCATTGACATCTCAATAAACTGTCATAAGTAAAGCTGAAATGTGCACGTAGTTCATTCGCAAAAAAAAATAATGCTGATCAAAATTCATTAAAAGTGTAATTATTTCTAGAATTAAAATAAATTTTAAGTCGAATTATTGTATTTACGTACCTGTCGTTGTGCTATTAGTCATCTTGTCCTTGTTGGTTTTTTTCTGCGCGGCCGCTTCCGCATCCATCTCTTCGGCTTCTTGGCGTCGTTTTTTCAACATGGCTTCATCCTCGTCGATCTCATCGTCAATCTGTTTCCGGTCGGCGGCTTCGCGTTTTAGTCTAATTAAGTAATTTCATTATCTTTACCTCAGTTTGGGTGACTAATTAGTCAGGTAAATCACACAGTCATTGATAATTTGTAAAATCTCCGTAAATTTTGCAAAATAACTTTAAAAGCTTTTGCAAAATTATTTACTTAAAAGACGCCCTTGATGTGTGTAAACTTACAAAATTTTGTTAGCTAATTTCCCTCAGAAATATTTGTGAAAATTTGTAAAAGTTTGAAAGTTTACAGAATTTACAGATGTTACAATGTTACCAATGCGTGCGAGGATTGCTTCAATATTTTACAAATTTACGATTATTTTGAAAATTTTGTTGAATTTCCAAGCCGTGAAAGTAAATTCTGTTAGACAGAAATATTATAAGTGATGCAGGTTTGCAGAGCATTAGTCGAAAAAATTAAATATTCAATATTTCACGCTATCGTGAGAAACTTTACAGATTTTCTGAGCGATGCTATCTCATTTTTTGATTTTAGTGCTTGAAAAAAGTTTTAAATTTTGCAGCTTTCAACTTGCATTAAGTTTATAGAATTTACTATTTTTTAAAAGTTATCAAGTCCTGCGTGAATTGCCTCAATACTTATTTAGGTAAATGCTCAATCGTAATTGTACTGAGGAATATAATTAAATGTATTTTTTAAATTTGCTAACAACGTATTGAAGAGAATAATTTAATGTATTTTTTAAATTTGCAAACAATTCGCAAAAATAAGAGTAACCTTTTAATCATAATATTTCTCACGATAGCTTCATCGCCCTCCATCCGGGAAGTTTCTTCCTCGTAAAGGTCAAGGCTGACGGGACGTTTGTTGCTACTTCCGGTCGTGGTTGTGGCATCGTCCCGCCCCGTACTCGGGATTACGGCAGGATTACCAAATATCAGCGTGGGCGCCGCCACGGACTTTCGACTTCCGGTTTCCTGCAAGCTGCCTTCATAGTCGTGGTCATGATGTCGGCGTAACTGGCGACCCTCGGAGGTTCTGTGGATTCAAAATAATAGTTTGAAAAATTATGACAAATTAATAGCGCCAAGTTTGTAAATCGGGGTATTTTGTGGGATAATGTATTATAAAACTTAAGGTTACATTGGGTGATAATTTGATACGGCATAGATTTTTAATCTCTTTTTCGAAATCTCATAAATTTCACAAAACCTCACAAGTTATGGAACTATGCTCAATTTGCGAGATATGTGAAGGTCGACGTGAATACGCTCAGTATTAACTAGAAAGTAAATCTATTATCAACTCGGTAACCAAACTATTTTCAAATTGGTAACGCCTAATTTCTTCGAATCACGAGAGAATCAAACAAGCGTCAACTTTCTTCTGGGTAAAAAACCTAAAGAAAATTTAACAAAAATGCGTCGCTTGTACCTCAAAATTAAATTTTTAAACATAAAGTTCCCAAAATTATTTAAAGGTCCCCTCCACATCACTGACATTCTTTCATTTGCAGACATTTACATCAGTCCTAAGCACTTTCAGTTAACTAACTCAACCTTTATTTACATAATTAATTTCCATAATTAGTTAATCGGCGTACTTACGGAAAATTGAGCAAATTTAGTGCGTACAATAGGAAGTTTTATTAAGTTTGCCCGATTTCGAAAAAACAGTTTGCTGTGAAATTGTGTAAGTTTGGAAGAAATTAACAATTTAATTTTGAAAAAATTACAAATTTTGCAGCATTTACGCCATTGAAAAATAGCGTCAATACGTCATACCTCTGAAGATGGGTAGGTATATAAATAACATTATCTGTTGTTTGAAAAAAAAAAATTAATTTGGTAGTTCTGTCGATTCAAAAGTTATTGGAGGTCAAAGTCTCCCAAACCCCAATTTTTTTACACCATTTAAATCAAAACTTTGACCGTCCAAAAATTACAGAAAAAATTTACAACGTTTAGGAATCTATAAATGTAGAAACTAAATAAAAATGCACAATTTCTGAATTCTGTCGTGAAACTTCAAATATTTTCAAATTTTGTAATACCTATATGTATTTACTCCATTTATAAAATATGCAGAAATTTGATCAGCAAATAACCGTTGAAGATATGTACATATATGAGAAAAGAGATTTGTACTTACAAAATTCACACAAAAATTTACACATTTTATAAAATTAACTTGATAAGAAATAAATAAAACTTATCACTCTAAAACTTATATACTCACTTATTTTACTTGTAAAACTTGAAATATTTCCAAACTTCTACTCTATTTAGAAAATTATGAAAAAAAATTCCTAAAAATTCGAAAAGAAATTCAAAGCTTTTTGTTAACTTAGAAACTTATTTATTTCCTTTTTTTATAAAAATTTTGCCCGTAAAAATTGCAGCTTTTGTTTTATATTACACCAAAACTCAGTATGACCTGAGCTTACTTTACGAAGTGTTAACAAAGTAAAAATTCACAAATCGACTTTAATACGCAGCAATATGTCAAAGTTCTGGCAAGTTGAAAATATCAGTTGTACTCACTGCAAACTCATAATTTTGTAAAATTTCAAAAAATACGTACGTTTATTACGAGGTTGAAACTTCTATCTCAGAAACTGACCAAGATAAGACAAAATTTTGAAAATTTCAAAAAATATGGAAATTTATTACAGGGAACTACCTTCTATCTCAAAAAACTGACATGTTTTAAATCCAAATCTTAACGAAGATAAATTTCCTAAACTTACAAACTCTTACGAATATTTCTAGGGAAAATTAGCTTCCAAATTTTTAAAATTTGCCCAAATCACGGGGGTCCTTTATTTTGTAAAAGTTTGCAAACTTATTTTACAAAACATACTCTGATTTTATAAAGTTACCAAATTACTGTGTAAATTACCTTATATGTTGATTTTAAGACCTCACTTTATTAAAATGCATCCTTCTAAACCCCACTTAAATTAAAACCCATTGGGTTTTAATCAACACCAAATATTCGAATTATGCAAAGTCAAAAGTTCACTAAACTTGTATAAAATTTCATACATTCAAAACATGCATTTTTCTGTTTCCCACATTCTTCCAAACACGGCGGAGATGGAGGTTTAAAACGTTAGAAATTAATTTGCATACAAAATTTACATAGTTATTTTATTCAGTTTTTGAAACAGTAGTAATAAATGTACGGATTTTTGAAATTTTACTAACTTACGGCATTAGTTGACATTAAAACTGAAACTTGAGAACTTTCAAGTGTTGTTGAGTATTAACGTCGATTTGTAAAAAAAATATGTTGTCAACACGTTACGAGAAATGCAGATACCTGTTGGTCCTAGTTTTCACGTATATCATGCAAGCTGTGATTTTCACTGAAAACTTGTATGAAATGAGTAGCAACGAGGAAATATCGAGACAATTCTTGCGCAGTCCTTGGTAACTGCATAAAATCCGTAAACTTTTACAAAATTTTACAAATATTTCTGAAGAAAATTAGCTTCCAAATTTTTGTAAACTTGCTCAGACCAAGGGCGTCTTTTTATTTTGTAAGAGATTGTAAAATTTCACAAGATAATTTGGTAAAACTTACGGATTTTACGAGATACCGAGCAATGACAGCGTGAATTGCTTCGTTATTTTGTTCATTTTATTATAAAAATGTATGTAAACATGGAATTATTACTAAATTATGAATATTTTGATTCGATTGTTACTCACATTAAGAAAAAGAAGACGAGGACGAGGGTACAAATCCGATCCGATATTTGATAATTAATCTTCATTTTAAAAATCTTTCTAGCATATTTATTTCATAAATTATGTTCTACGTATGTACACACGCACCACTTTCACAATAAAACTATGTAAAATAATTTGGTAAAAACTTGGTAAAATAACTTGGTAAAATTTGGTAAAAACTCCTAGGCAAAACTTGAAACAAATGAATAAAATTAGTGAAAAAGTTCAATTTGCGTCTTTTTCACTCAATTAGCAATCCCTTAATCGGTGACTGACGCCAGTAAACACTTTCTGACACTCACTATGCAGAAAAATCCATGTAACAGAATTCCAGTTTGACACCAGCAGCAGCAGAACAATGATAATATTTAATTTTATGCAGATTATTAAACAAAACTGGTTAAACGTTTGAGTCAAAGATTTTACATATTTTTTTGCACATGTCTTGTTAACAATTTCTGGTAAATTCCTTGCCCGCAATAAAATGTGTATTGTTCTTCTTATCTTTTCAGCTTTTATAGAATTAAGAGATCTGCAAATGTATGTAGCGTGGAGGAGGCAAAGTCATTTACATTTTATGATGCAGAAAATGCAGGTGTGTTGTAGATATTCGACAGGTATTTCTTTGGCAAAGACGAGTTCTCCAGAGTGACTGATAGAGATGAAGGAGAAGATGCGATATGGATTAATGCGAGCCAATTGTGTGGACAAAAAAAGTGGGCAAAAAGAAGTGAAACTGGTTACAAGGTAGGTATTCTCAAGAAATGGGGTCGTTCAAGTGGAAGGTGAGAATAAATGGGAGACAGAAGGAGCGATGCACCACGTTTATTTTACACGTGGTACGTACCATCATGTGCTACGTAATAGGCGTGTTATTTTTATTAGATGTATTTTACCAGGTGTTATTTTTTCCATATTATTATGGTTTACCAATATATGTGACCACGTGGTATGTTTACCATGTTGTATATTTACAAAGTTACTTTTACCGTGCTATATTTACCATGCGTTATTTTTACTACATGTAATATTTACCATATGTGTGCTATTTTTACCATGCGGTATATTATACCATATGTTTTACCGATTTATTTTCACCATGTACATATATTATACCAATTAATTTTCACCACATATAATATTTACCTTATATAAGTCATTTTTACCACGTGCAATATTTGCCATTCTCGTGCCCTTGCCGCGTCCACATGCGATTTACAGTGTTATTCTTAAAATTAGATGATTGAATTTGGTGACTTAATTTTTGCACGGTCCCAACAGCACCCACATGGAACTTTGCAAAATTAATAAGATCTGAGTTGACGATGTATGTACTCCATGAATTTGCCAAGATTTATTCCCTGCTTTAATATGCAAATGACACTAAAGTTCGCTTTGTTAAGAAAAATAATTACTTCAGACATGCACAGTTTATGCGACGGATAACAAAATTTGGGGATGTGTGAAATAAGGACGCAACTTAAATTTAGATTGGTAATGTACAATTGATTTTTAACTCGTTCATCGTATCAAGATGTAATTATCTATTGTTTTAAAATTTATAACGTAAATCGAGGAATTATATATTTAAAAGTTGCGAAAAAGTGTAAATGTTCCAAAATATTTATGGTTTAAAGGTATAAATATGGATTTTTCGATTTTTTCTTATGAGGCAATTCACCCAGGTAGGGATGGTAATCCGTATCCTAAATTAACCGATCCGTAGGATAGGATCGGATAAATACAGGATCGGATCGGATCGGATTTGCTCGCTTTAGGATCGGATCGGCTCCCGGTTCTACTCGAAATCCGATGCGATCCGATCGTAGGATATCCGCGGATGATATGTGTGAGACACCTTGTGTCTAACTATGGAAATACTTTACCAGCTGCTTTTCTTTATTTATTGGAACGGTTTTTGGTGAGTTCATCACATGGCGTACATTACCCGAATGAGCCGAATTATCCTATTATTTTACACCAGTTATTTTTATTTTGGCGTTGAAATCATACTAAATTGAATAATTTGATTTAGTATGATTTAGTAATTCAATTTAGTATGATTTCAACGCCAAAATAAAAATAACTGGTGTAGAATAATAACATAATTCGGCTCGTTCGGGTAATGTACGCCTGTGATGAACTCACCAAATGTGAAACGAGTTTACATCGGATGATCCGAGGATCCTGTGTGATGATCCTAGGATCTCATCGGTTAGGATCGGATCGGATTGTCTGATCCTCGGATCCTCTATCCGATCCGTGTGAAAATCCGATCCTATCCGAGTTTTTACGATCCTAGGATAGGATCGGTTACGGATTACCATCACTACACCCAGGCGTTGGTAACATTGTAAAATCCGTACATTCTGTAAACTTTACCTCATAAATTTGACAAAATTTCCTAAATATTTCAAAGGAAAATTAGCTTCCACATTTTTGCAAACTTACTCAGATCAAGGGCGTCTCTTCATCTTGTATAAGTTTGTAAATCTATTTTATATAACGAACGGATTTTAAAAAAGTTACAAAGGACTGCGTGTATTACCTCATTGAAATCCTCGAATTAATGAAACCATTTTTTGTAAATAAAATTTTCCAAATTTATAAGATTTTTTAGACTAATCAAACTTTTATGTCATCACATGACAACTATTTCACTAGTCCACCTGTTCTGCCAACATATAATTAAAAAAATTAAGGTTTTTAAAAACTACGACTTGCAAATTTTACAAAAATGAATAAAAATTTGTTTTGCAAAAGACTTACGACATGGAAAAATTTTGAAATTCGAGTAAGTACATAAATTTAGGTTACTTGATTCTTTCTTCAAGGAGTCCAAACATTTCAAATTTAATCTTGTATCGAGGATTTTAATTGAATTTTGGCATCTTTTAAAATTCGAAATTAGCCCATTATGGGAAATATAAAAAAGATTGGGAACCTTGAAGGTTCGACCTTCTTTTTGGGATAAACAAAATAAAATTGGTTTCATAAACTAAATCTGTGTTATACAGGTGAAAGACTTGCATTGTTAGCACGATCCAAAGGATCAAACTGATAAAAATCAAGCACGAACGATCTCCAAAATCAAACAGTTTTCGAATCTTCATCGTTTTTTTTTATTACCCCAAGAATCGCAATTCACTAATGGCACGAATCTCTACGAATTTTAATATTTTAAAATAAATTTATTATTTATGTAAACACAATTATGAATAATTGTTTAAAAATCCTGTATTTTACATAATCAGATATTCATATATATCATATTATCAACTTTGCATCATAGGGGACAAATGGCTGTAATTCTCAATTAAACTAGTGAGATCACATCCAAAGAAGTCATTCACGCAGTGACGGGTAAATTTATAAAATCTGTAAAATATTTTTACAAACTTTACAAAATAAAGAGACGCCCTTGATCTGAACAAATTTATAAAAATTTGGGAGCTAATTTTCCTTCAAAATATTTGTAAAAGTGTTTGGTTCTTGCGGGTTTTACCATGTTACCAAGAACTGCGTGAATTGCCTCATTATTTCGTGTTTTCTGTAAATAAGTCAACATGTTTTGGTAACAAAGAGGTAATAAATTATTCACATTTTTGGTACACACCACACGACAAAAGGATTCCGTGTGATGACGCAGGCATATTTGTTTTCTGAAAATGGAACGTGGTCCTGGTTGTGGTGTGGTCTGGTCAACTGGTCATCTTTCTTGTCTTGATGTCATCTTCACTGGCTTCACGCCAATTTATTTTTTAGCAATGATGACGAAAACGGTGGTGGTGGTGGTCATCTTTTTTCTCTTGAACGTAGGACTCACCAAAATCGTCAAAATCATCACATTTTTTCAGCAGCACATCATTTCTCGGTTCTGAGAATTAATTTTAAAATTCTGACCGACAGATTTGTAGTCAGTAAGTTGATTAAAGGAATGGCGGTGAGCTTTTGAAGCCAGTTTCGATGAGTCCCAATTTTTCTGAGGGTTTCTTAAACACGACATCTTCCCTTTCAAAAATTGTCAAAATGTGGAGTGTATAACTTTACTTTACTTATACTGTTGGTTATGCGGAGAGAGTTGGAATCCATCGCCGATTTACATTACCCGAATGAACCGAATCGCATAAGGTTATCTAATTATTTAATACGAAGTTCTTTTATTTTGGCGTAAAAATCATTCGATTTTGTATCTGGAACTTGAAAAATTGAATGACTTTCACGTCAAAATAAAATAAACTGGTATTAAATAATAAGTTAACCTTATGCGATTCGGTTCATTCGGGTAACGTAAATCGGCGATGGATTCCATCCAACTCTCTCCGCATAACCAACAGTACATTTAAAAAAAAATTGGAAACGACCTGCTCTACAAATTTGTCGTCCAAAATTTTAAAATAAATTCCCAAAGCTGAGAAATTATTTAAAATGTACTGATTTTTGACTATTCTAGCGACGAGTTACGAGTCCTTCGTTAACTCATCTTCACTCACTTCAAGCTAATTTATTTTTTAATAATGATGACGAAAGCGAAGGTGGTGGTGAAGGTACTGGTAATGACTATCTCTGATGATTGGTGTTGTAATCATTGTTATGTGATTTACATATATTTTGGTATAAATCATCGCTACAAGTGCACTTGTTTAGGTGAAGTCACGTCAATTTTTAACGAGGAAAATTAAAAATCATAAGAATTATATTGTAACGTTTTTCGTAAGTCAAAAAACTTACATTTTTTATTCATTTTTCTAAATTGAATTGTATATTTTGACAGTGCATTTTCTAATATTTTTTAATTTTTTAAAAATTTGGGCCAATTTTGTAATTTGCGAGATTTTCACGTCAGAAATTAAGAAAGTAAGAATATATAAATCTTAAACCAAGGTAGGTTTTGTAGTATGGTGTTGAGACTTTCAGCGTGATTTAAAATGTTTTAACATTTTCAAAACTCCTGTTCTTAGAAATTTTTAAAATGCATATCAGAAATTATGATCGTTTCTGGTCGAAATCCAACGCAAATATGGAGGATTTTGAATTTTACGAAATTTTGCCTCATCATGGTTAGTTTTTGAGTCAGAAATGTGTATTTGTCTTTTTAATTTTATGACAAGAACTGTGAATTGTTGAGTATTAAAGTCGTCTTAGGAATTTTTAGTTTGCTAACATTTTTGAAAATAAATGTAGGTTAATGTATGATTGATCGGTTGCTTGATTTGTACGAAGCAAAGCAAAGTTGCGATTTTGACGAATGAACTTTTGTGAAATGATTTAGAAACGAGGAAATATTGAGGCAATTCAAGTGGCCCTTGGTAACTTCGTAAAATCCGTAATTTTTATATACTTTCTTAGGTCAAGTATGTCTCTTAGTTTTGTAATGGTTTGCAAAATTGCCTCAATTTCTTGGAGTAATTTCTTACAGGTGGTATTTTTTCGGTGCAAACACCTTCCTGATGAATCTTTTTTTGCCCAATTTTCTAAATAATTGCGTTACTTCCAAGATTACAAAGTTGACCTGAATACGCCCAATCTGTGAAAAATATAGTTAACAATCGAATGATTTGTTTGTATGTACGTGAAAAATTCCTTTTCAACCAAACCCAGCAAAAAATTCAAGCTACAAATTTTATCGCTGGATGAACAATTCACGAGAA